GTGAAGCACATAACATGGTGGATATAGCTCCAGAGAAAACAAGCCAATGGCATTAAAATGGCGTCTCCAACTCTCCAGTGTAGCTTTACAACATAACCCAAAACTACTACGTAGCAACCCCTGACCATTGTAGCTTGAACATTCACAGATTTTGCCATTTCACATGAAGAAAACACCTAGAAACTGTACTGCAAGCGAGTATTAAGACTCTTTCTCACTTAAATAAATACAACGGCACTAGCTAGACTAGCCTAGAGGAACCAAACGATTTACATGAATTACAAGCAAAACAAAACGTTTTTAGCACAACAACACGTTAAAACGACTCACAAAATGCTTCTAGGATTATTCCTACCGGTATTTATATACACTGAAGTGTTTAAGAAACGTTTTAAGGTACCTGTGGATCAGTGGAGAAACATTTGTGTCTAGTTGAAGCCAGCACGAGTTTATTTCTGAACTGCGCATGCTCAGAGCTTGAAACTAATGTTTCTCCAAGCAATCCACAAGGGAGTAGAGCGCCATCTCCTGGTTAAATGGCAGAACATCATATAAGACAAAATAGAAACTTTTGGAAAGCCGTTAGAGTAGTTCTGATCATCAAAAAATAAGGGGGAAGGGGGTGTCTGTTTTACATGAACTTCAGATAGAGGCATTTTCTTAACCCTCTACAGCAAACTTGTGGTTAACACTGCCCTCTAGCAACTGGGAAAGAAATTAGCCTTGTGACTGCATGTTGTCAACACGTAGTGGTGTGTTAGTGGTGGTGTGTGTTGCGCTGGTACAAGTGGACCAGGCACACCAGTGCTGCTGGAGATTTTATACACCATGTACACTCACTGTCCACTCTATTAGACACTCCTACCTTGTTGGACCACCTTGTAGATGTAAAGTCAGAGACGATAGCTCATCTGTTGCTGCACAGTTTGTGTTAGTCGTCCTCTAGTCCTTCATCAGTGGTCACAGGACGCTGCCCACAGGACCCTCTTGGCTGGATATTTTTGGTTGGTGGTCTATTCTCAATCCAGCAGTGACATGGAGGTGTTTAAAAACTGATCCACTCATACTAGCACAACACACACCAACACGCCACTGTCCTAGTAGGCAGTAGTCACGACAGTGTTGTGTTGATATGGGGGGGCATTGCCGAAAAAGGGCTTGCTTGTTGTGGCTGGACTAGTAGCAAGTGTATAGAAATAGCCCGTTGGTGCTTTTCTTTCATTAAAACGGGACATTGAGCTTACCAAAGAGTCCTTCATCGCATATCCTGAGTTTATTACAAGTCAGAAGCTGGTGAACTGACTTCAAGTCGAAAATGGTGAAGTTTAACCCACCAGAGAGCTTTTGCTTTGAGAAACCAGTAGAGTGGACCTAGTGGAAGAAACGCTTCACGACTAAGCTGGAGGGCAGCGTGCAAGTGAGCACTCTTATTTATGCCTTAGGCAGGGAGGCAGAGAACATTTTTAGCTCTTTCACTTTTGCAGAAGGAGAAGATACAAACTACAATGCAGTTTGATGCTTACTTTATTCTGAAGCGTAACATCATTCATGAGAGAGCCTGCTTCCATCAACGCATGCAGTGCGGGAGAGAGAGTAGAGACATTCATCTGCGCTTTGTACGAACTCTCAGAACACTGAGATTTTGGAGCTAATCGCGAGGAACACATTAGAGATAGAATTGTGGTGGGAATCCAGGAAAGAACTGTCACAAAAATTGCAGCTCATACCAAATCTCACCTTGGAGATCACAGTACAGGGGGTCTGTCAGTCAGAGGAGGTGAAAACTCAAGTTTTCCAGCAAGGCGAGGCTGCATGTGCCAAGAGGTAGCGCAGGGGCAATGAAAACACACAATATGGCTGAAGCAAAACAGAGATATGGACAAAGAGAGGGACCTCGAAGACAAGGACCAAAGTAAAAATGTGGCAGATGTGGCAAAATATCACTAAGAAAATGGATAAATGTTCAGCAATCAAGATTTTGGAGCTAATCGCGAGGAACACATTAGAGATAGAATCATGGTGGGAATCCAGGAAAGAACTGTCACGGAAATTGCAGCTCATACCAAATCTCACCTTGGAGATCACAGTACAGGAGGTCTGTCAGTCAGAGGAGGTGAAAACTCAAGTTTTCCAGCAAGGCGAGGCTGCATGTGCCAAGAGGTAGCGCAGGGGCAATGAAAACACACAAAATGGCTGAAGCAAAACAGAGATATGGACAAAGAGAGGGACCTCGAAGACAAGGACCAAAGTAAAAATGTGGCAGATGTGGCAAAATATCACATAAGAAAATGGATAAATGTTCAGCAATCAAGTCTACCTGCAACAGGTGCAGGAAAACAGAGCATGGGGAAGGATGTGTAGAAGCAAACTAGTGAGTGAAATCACAGAGGAGGAGGTGCAAGCATCTTATTTTCTAGGTTCAGCTAACAGCACGGTCTGCTCAATATAGGCAGCACACCAGGAAGCTTTAAAATAGATACTGGGGCGGACGTGTGTGTTATGAGTGAAGACACATTCAAAATGCTAATTCCAGAGAAAAAGCTGCTTGATGCTAAGGCTGCACTGAGTGGCCCAGGGGGACATCTGAAGTGTGCAGGCCAATACACAGCACACATGTAGTACAAGAACAACAGATATTCATTCAAAGTCTTTGTCATCAGAGGCGAGAGTGTAAATAACAGACCAGTAGCTCAGACAAAGGGCCTAGTAAAAAGAGTTTTCCAGGTCAGCAATGCAGGGGAAGAGTGGTCTGCTCAAGACACAGCCAGTGAAAATCATGCTGCAGGAAAATGCCCAACCCTACGCAGTCCACACAGCACGCAGAGTTCCTATACCACTCTTGAAACCCATAAATGAGAAACTAGAGAGAAGGGAGGCTGGTGAGAGTGGTGTGGACCTATGGTGCCAGCCCCAAAGAAATCAAGAAAAGTGCATATCTTTGCAGATCTTAAAAGACTTAACAAAGCTGTTAAGAGAGAGAGGTTTATACTACCAAGAGCAGAGGAAATCATTGCCGGATTGAGAGGGTTTTCATCATGCAGCGGCATGCAGTTTTCATCATGCAGCGGCAGGGTTCTGGCAAATTCTGCTCGACAAGAATAGATAAATAGATAGATCACTTTATTAATTCCAGAGGGAAATTCTTCTGTTGCAGCAGTACAAAGCACAGTAAAGAGCAAACAAGAGCAAAATGAACAGGAGCAAAGTATTGCTGTACACTGTTTTCAGATATATAAAAGATATCACTCCTTTTGCCAGATACTGTTTTAAGCATCTTCCTTTTGGCATCAGTAGTGCCCCTGAAATCCTCCAGAGGAAGATGGTAGAAATGCTGGAAGGTTTACAAGGGGTGGCAGTATATATGGATGACATCATTGTCCATGGTAAGGACATGGTGGAAGATGATTAGTTTTTACAGAGGTGCTGGAGAGGTTGGAATCGGCTGGTAGGAAAACGTCCATGAACTCAAAAGGGTATTGGGACTGGTCAATTATCTGGGAAAATACAGGCCAGGCAATTAACGTTAATTAGGTAAATGTTAATGCAGAAAGAAACATGCCTTCCACCTCACAGGAGCACCCACAACAATCCCTACCTACAATTTTCGCCCGTTCACTTGAAAAGCCTGCTCCTGTGAGGTGGAAGGCATGTTTCTTTCTAGTATTATTTTGGCTCGTACATCCGTTCGCCAGAGTGTTGATTATCTCTTCACTATTCAGGATTACTGCTACTAGATTTCGTGCAGACTCATCAGGATAATATGACACATCGAAAAAACAAGATGGCACCTTGATGGCGTCACATTTTATTCCATATTCTCAAGTTTCATTCCATATATTCAAAGTTTCATTCCATATTCTCAAGTTTCATTCCATATATTCAAAGTTTAATTACATATTCTCAGGTTTCATTCCATATTCTCAAGTTTCATTCCATATTCTCAAGTTTCATTCCATATATTCAGAGTTTCATTCCATATTCTCAGGTTTCATTCCATATTCTCAAGTTTCATTCCATATATTCAGTTTCATTCCATATTCTCAAGTTTCATTCCATATATTCAGAGTTTCATTCCATATATCCAGAGTTTCATTCCATATTCTCAAGTTTCATTCCATATATTCAGACTTTCATTCCATATATCGTTGCTGTCCAATGAAAAACATGTATCTCCATTTTTTGCTATTTTTACTTTTCTGCATCAGCTCAGCATTGTTTGAGCTCAGCAGCATATATATATATATATATATATATATATATATATATAAAATGGCATGCCATTTAGGAAATTGTTTATACATATAATGAAAAATCTGAATATATGGAATGAAACATGAGAATATGGAAATATCCCGATGACTGAGTCAGCACGAAATCTAGTAGCAGTAATCCTAAACAGTGAGGAGGTAATTAACACCCTGGTGACGCATGTAGGCCAAAATAATACTAGAAAGAAACATGCCTTCCACCTCACAGGAGCAGCCCACAAGTAGCCTAGAGTTGGAAGAGGGGTTTTACGGATGGGGTATGGTGTTGGGGTTCCCCTTTAATCGCACGTTCTTGGGGTGGATGTCGATTCCGTACGGAATCTCACACTTCCAAAACACAAAATGGCGCTAGTGCCTTGATGAGGTCAGGTTTCATTCCATATATTAAGACTTTCATTCCATATATTCAGTTTTCAATCATTATATATATGTAAATAATTTTCTAAACGGCATGTCATAATATATATACATACATTCAATACAAAAAAGTTCATTGTATATGTCTGTTCATTAAATATGTTCTGAGCTTATTTATTTATTTATTTATTTAATATTGCTATTCATTGCATACAAAATAGAAAAAATCCAGAGACTGATAACAAACAAAAATACAAATTTTACCTTTAATGCAATGATAATTATATTTAGGAGATCACACAGAGGTTGTGTCCACGTTATAAGACTTTTGTTTTTAAAAATGTCATATTAACAAGTTCATTAAATCTTCCATAGGTTTTTCATTTGCTGCCAGTGACATCAGTGTCAGATTATGGCTACATACTTGAAGATGAGCCAGGGTGTCTGCATGTTAGAGTACAACGCAGTGCACAGGAAGACCATGTGTATCGTACACTAAAGGTAACTCACTGAATGTACAAACAGTTTTTGTAAATCTATGTGTAAAATTTCTTCTACACTATACCATTATAATCACATCTGAACAGAAAGAAAATGTACAGATTCATTTAAAAATGCTGTATATTGTCGCTGTCACAGGAAAAAAAGAAAGTATCTGTGTTTTTCTACATGATTTAAGCACAGCACACTGTGTACAATTTCATGAGGAATAGACCAATAGAAATGCTCCATCATTATTTGGAATAAAGTCTCTTTATATGAATGTTTTTGCCTTCTCCAGTAAACATTTTGGAGATACTTGTTTTTCTTTGGACGGCAACAACATCCATTTGTTACACTTTTGGATATAATAAGGTTTTAAAAGACTAACAGTTGATGTATAATGGAAAAGACATTATTTCTGTAATAGAGTTATTATTCATCACAATAAAGCACTGATATTTCATGATTGTTTGAAGCTCACTCCCAACAACATATATCATGAAAAAATAATACGATTCTTGAAATTGGTCTATACTACATTTGGAACATCACTCTTCAAATGCATTTCATTTAAGTCTTAAAGAGATCTACTTATTCTGATCTTTATTACATTCATTATCTGACAGCGTGTGGGGCTGAAGATGGTAACAAATTTGGCTGTCAGAGAAGCTCACTGTTTGATCTACAAAGGCAGAAGATATGATGGCCACCATCATATTTGTATGTCCAGACTAATCTTTTTCCACTTTTTTCATAAATATTTATTTCTGAATCTTAATCATTGTGTTACTAAAATATATATGTTGTGTTTTTGCATGCGTACTCCAGATTTTGTCTTCTTAAGTTAAAACAACTAACAGTTAAAGAAGAAAGTCAGGTAATTGTTCATGTTTTTGCTGATTTTTAGTTGACACTACAGTGGCTGGATTGTTTGGTCATCTCTCTGAATCTCAGTCTGGACCTGTTGAGACAGTTCGTAAATTCTTCCCAGAAACTTGGATATGGCAACTTGCTGAAGTGGGGTTAGTGAACACTGTACAGCAGATTGGTTCTAAAATCTGACTGACTAAGCCACAATTGAAAGCATTGTAAAACTGTACATATGCACATCCATGACCATGGCTATAACAAGCTATGAAGACACCGAGGTCCAGACTTCTGTAGTTTTGCATGAGTTTTATTTCCCACATATCTTCAGTTATGAAGTTCAGCGTGGAGGCAGCGCTGTCCTGATACTGTGTTGGCCTATCATTTTTAAAATCTCGCATGCCAATCTAATCTAATCCTACAACTGAACCTCCACTGACCTCAGAACAACTGTAGACTTACTGTCCACTATGTTTAGCTGTACATAAGATGCTATGCTGACCCAGAGTGACTTTGACTTCTTTAAGATGAACAGGTAGACTCTGCAGCACATATAATATAGGCTATAGTTATGATAAAAGGCTTCTATATGAATCTGAGTGTTTATGAGGGCTGTGAATGTTTTACGTTTAATCTGCTTGTCTCAACAGATGATCATATCATTACTGTCACATGAGCTGCTGCTAATAATGACAGACAAGCACTAAAATAGCCTTAAGTATTACTAAAAAAAACAATTTATTTGTCATTTAAGTTTAAAGTGTACTATCAGTCTCAATACATTTTAATTAATTAGTCAAGATTTATTTAAATAGAGTGAGCATTGTCACAATGCAGCTTTACAGAAAATCCAGGTCCAAATTCAAAATGAGCTAGCAAAGGGTGACAGTGGCAAGGAAAAACGCCTCAAGAAGCCAAAGGGAATCTATCCTCCTCTGGTCGATTCTGGATAACAAAACAATAATACAAAAGCAATGTGAATAAAGGATGAGATTTTACAACTACAATAGTGCGTTTCCTGAAGAAAATGCAGAGTGGTTGCGCAGCTGAAGCTTGAAGTTGCCAGGTGGTTGCTTAGGTGTTTCTAGGCAGTTGCTATGAAATGAGGGGTGTGAACTGAGGGCTTGTTAGGGGGTTGCTCTTCAGTGGTTAAGTGGTTGCTTTTTGTTGTTAAAATGAATGGGACTCAACTGGAGGAACGAGGGATAAAAAATGAAACATAGAGGAGTGCAGGTCAGTATGGCTGTGCAGTAGAGTTTGAGGACGTCTCCTGAGTGAGTACATGCAGTTTGGTGGCTGTAGGGGACAAATTCACAACATTGAATACTGAGTGTTTCAGTCGAACAGAAGTACAGTAGATGGACATGCAATTTTTTACTCTCTTCATTCCTAGGGGAAAAAATTCGGAATCTCAAAGATTGTACAAAAACTGTATTTCTGATCAAAAAGCTGTATAAAAGCACACCATTACCAAATATTTTGGAGTTGGAACGGTGTCAATATGGTGAAAACTGTGGGACGGGTTAGCGGACAAATATCTGGCAGAAAAAGAAGAAAAATGTAAAACAGATAACCAACTAATATCATCATGCACATCCACTGAATTCTGTGATAATGCACCAAGATATTAAAATCAACTGTGCTATTCATGGAATAATCTTTGACCGTTATGGTGATTGCTTGGACCAAGAAACATAGAATGGATGAGCAGTGTTGGGTTGTAACTAGAGGAGGCACCAATCCCATACCCGGTTTCAGTATTGGGACAATATTTACAGAAAATGCTCAGGTAATGCTCAGGTATCGGTGGAAAAAAGAAATTAGCGTGATCTGTCACTAATGTAGCCTTAAAATAGCACAGAATTTCTTGCAGTGCTGCAAAACAAAAGTAGGTCACATGATGACATCAGTGACAAATTGATAAGATCACGGGATAATAGTGTGAGAAAATAACCTGATGAAGCAAACTAAATTATTTTCCTTCTCTGATAACTTTCCTTCATGGATAAGCGGCTTAGAAGAAGTGTGTGTGCGTGTGTGTGTGTGTATGTGTGTGTGTGTGTGTGATAACTTCATGTATATTAATTACTCTATTACTTTGGTAGCTACAAACTTTGAACTATATAGAATGTCGAGTAATCCAAAAATAACAGAAAAACAGGCTACATTTCTTTAACATAGTAATTCTTTGGATTAGGTCAGATTATATTTTTAAATGGGCAATCAGTAACCTGTTGCAGAATATATTTTTAAAGTAACCCTTCCAGCACTGTTAATAGGTGGGGCCAGGTATTAGAGTGGTATGAAGTGAGCAGCCTTTAACGGTGCTAAACATACACTATGTGGAAACCTGGTCTTTAGCTGTACTAAACATACCCTGTGAAAAAACCTTTCCTTAAACACAAGATTTTGGTTGACGAGGTCAGCAGCTAACAGGTTTCTCCAGTAATAATCCTTAATCAGAAAGTGCAGGTGGTGGTCTGACCTGCCTGCCCTTTAACCTGAGTCGTGTGCTATGATCATGATTTATTTTATTGATGAAAGATAAAGAGAGTCAGTGCTACTTTTCCACAGAGACTCTGGATCAGCACAGATTCCTGTCACTGTTCCTGACACTATCACCACTTGGGAGACGGAGGCTTTCTGTCTGTCCTCTAGAGGTCTGGGAGTGGCTCCTCCTGCTCAGCTTCGTGTCTTCCAGCCCTTCTTCCTGGAGCTCTCGCTGCCCTACTCCATCATCCGGGGAGAGGAGTTTGAGCTGAAGGCCACTGTCTTCAACTATCTCTCCAAGTGCATTATGGTACTGTAAGATCAACATTTTCTGTCTTCACCAGTCTCTCATCACTTAACATCCACAGTAAGCTGATCTCCTGTGCTTCACGGACAGGTTAAAGTGACTCCAGCTCCTTCCTCACACTACACTCTGAAACCCTCCTCTGATGGAGAGTATTCATCCTGTCTGTGTGCAAATGGTAGAAAGACCTTCAAATGGAATCTTGTTCCCTCTGTGCTTGGTGAGTTCTAAACCTCTCAAGTTCAGACATAATCTCACATTTCTGTTGAATTGTTTTTAGTGCTAATAAACTCCTCTCTGCATCTTTTAATGTGTTTTAGGGGTCTTGAATGTGACAGTCAGTGCTGAGGCAGAACAGTCACAGACTGTGTGTGACAATGAGATTGTGAGTGTGCCTGAGAGAGGCCGCATTGACACAGTCACACGAAGCCTTCTTGTACAGGTAGGACTGAAAATTTGCCTTTGAAAATGCATACATTTATACAAAGTTGGGAGGGTTATTTTTAAAAATGCATTCCAGTACAGTTTACTGATTACCTGTTAAAAGTAAAACAATCTGATTAGTTTCTGTGACTTTTGGATTGCTTGTCTTTATAAAGTCATAAAATTTGATAAAGACAAGAGAAAAATGTAACTAAAATTAAAATTAAAACAAGAATTTAAATGAACACAAGGCAAACACGAAAACTGCACTGTTTTATGAAACATAATGATAGATTATAGGTGATTTAAATATTGTGCCTCACATAAATAGCCACTAACCTCACATTTAGCAAAATGGCCAAAGTGGAAGAATATATGTAAATATTTCAAACATAAAGCTGACAAATTTGTACAGTATAATTTAAGTTTAAACATGTACACTCACGAGCAGTGACAATGGGGACATCTCTCCAAGATAAAGATTCCTCCAAAAAACAAAAAGTTTTAACAGGAAAAAGAAAAAATTTGGAACAGGGACTAAAGCTCTGAGTCTAAAACACAAGGAAATAAGTGGTCATTGAGTTATATGCAAAAGTTTTTATAGTTAAAAACTAAACTGCTCTCCTGGGATGATGCCTTATTTGTTTAAAATCTGTTGCTTTTTATACATTTACATTTACAGCATTTAGCAGACGCTCTTATCCAGAGCGACTAACAAAAACTGCTTTGTCTATCTAGAGAAAGTATCTTTGCTAGTTACAAATAGGTTAGAGAGAAAGCTAGTCCTGAGCTCAGATACTACTAGAAACAAAAGCCCATGTTGATACCTAGAGAAAAGCAACAGAATTAAATACGGTGCTTTGCAATACATTTCAATAAGTGCAGTACAATACATTACAATACATAACTCAGTGCTCACTTAAATGCTGTAAAAAGAGATGTGTCTTCAGTCTGCATTTGAAGACAGCGAGAGACTCTGCTGTTCGGACAGCCAGTAGGATTTCGTTCCACCACCTGGGTGCCAGGACAGAGAAATGTCTTGATCCTTGTCTTCCGCGTGTCTTGAATGATGGCGGGTCAAGCCAAGCAAACTGTGTGTCAGAAGGTGGGAAAGAAAGCATTAGTTGAGTGTCATCAGCATAGCAGTGATAAGAGAAGCCGTGAGAGGATATTACATCACCCAGAGAACTAGTGTAAAGTGAAAAGAGAAAAGGACCCAGCACCGAGCCTTGTGGGACACCAGTGGAGAGCCTGCATGGTGCGGATGTGGACCCTCTCCATTTTACCTGATAAGAGTGACCCTCCACTTGAACCACTTCCACGCAGAGCCAGTGATTCCAAGGTTGGTGAGGATGTCCAGAAGGATTGTATGGTTGACTGTGTCAAAAGCTGCTGAGAGGTCAAGAAGAATCAGGACAGATGACAGTTTGGCTGATCTTGCTGACTGGAGCTTCTCAGTCACTGCTATAAGGGCAGTTTCTGTTGAGTGCATCGTTTTCAAGCCAGACTGGTTGGGGTCCTGGAGCTGGTTCTGTGTGAGAAAAAGAGACGGGTGATTATAGACTGCACATTCAAGAATTTTTGAAAGGAAAGGAAGGAGTGATACCGGTCTGTAGTTGTTGACATAAGAGCTGTCAACCATGGGCTTCTTCAGGATGGGAAGCACTCTTGCAGTCTTGAAAGTTGATGGAACTTGACCTGATGACAAGGAGTTGTTTATGAGAAAAGTGATGAAGGGCTGTAGATCCATGGAGATTGACTGGAGCAAAGTGGATGGGATGGGATCCAGTGGGCAAGTGGTTGGATTACTGGCTTTGATCAGTTGTAGGACATGATCTGTGGAGAGTGGAGAAAAACAGTTTAGGGGATTGAGAACAAGAGGGCAAGGTCTAGTGGGAGGAGCGGAGACAGGGGGGAAAGACTGGCTGATTCTATCAACCTTCTCCTCAAAGAAGGTGACAAAATCCTCAAGGGTGAGAGAAGAGGGTGGAGGGGGAGGAGGAGGGTTGAGAAGAGAGAGGAAAATGCTAAAGAGCTTGCGTGGATCAGATGCTGAAGCTTCCAGTTTCCCTCTGTAGAAAGAAGACTTTGCAGCAATAACATCAAATGAGAACTTAGAAAGGAGAGATTGGTAGGACTGAAGATCCAAGTTAAGCTGGGATTGCCTCCACCTTCTCTCAGCCTTCCTTTGCTCTTGCCGGTTGCTGCATAGGACACCTGCCAGCCAGTAGGCAGGTGGGGAGGATCTTGCTGGCCTGGAGGAGAGAGCACATAGAAAGTTAATTGCAGATGAGAGTGAAGAAAGGAAACATCTGTAGCTGTGTCCAGTGAGAGAGAAGAGAATGAGTCAGGATGGAGAAGGGTTGGTCAGGATAGTTTAAGTGAAAGATGAGGGAGGAATGGAGTGCAAGTTGCGTTGAGTAGAAGAGCATGAAGGGGTGGTATGGACAGTAGTAGCAGGGAGGGCGAGTGTGAAAGATAGAAAGTTGTGATCAGAGCGGTGAAGGGGAGTTACTATCACATCCAGTGCAGAGGTAGGTCTGCTGAAAATCAGGTCCAGAGCATTGCCTGCTCTGGGCGTCGGAGGAGTCTGGTTGAGGGTGAGGTCAAAGGATGATAGCAGTGGTAACAGGCAGGATAACTTCAGCTTGTCCGATGGCAGTTTGAAGTCACCCAAAAGTATGAGTGGGGTTCCATCGATGGGGAAGAGACTCAGAAGAATATCTAACTCATCAATGAAGCTGCCTAGAGGAGCGGGAGGACGATAAAAGACAATGATGTGAAGTGGGGAAAAATACAGTGACAGCATGGGACTCAAAGGAGGAAACTGAAAGATGAGAAAAAGCAAGTGGAGTGAAACTGCTTTTACACCAAAGTCAAAAGATTAATCTAGTAGAAGTCTTTTTTTCAGAACCCTTCCATCAACAATAATTAAAAAATACAGACCATTCTAAAAACTGTGACTGGCCATCATTTGTGTTTTCATATTATTGTATTGTGCTTGGTTGACACATAGTTTGTAGATGCACCCTCAGCTTTCAGTAGTTTCAGCGGTCTACAGAAATCAATGTGTAATATGAGAATAAAAGGCATTAATTTCAATGAAAACTATGTGGGAGTCAATTGTCTTAAGCTGGGCCTACACTACATGTACATTTTTAGCAAGATTTTGACCTCGATTTGCCCTTTCTGATGAATTTTCCCAATCTGAAGCAATTTTCCAGGTCAGGAGTTTGATCTGAAGCGATTGGGAAGCTTTAGCCCTCTGATTGAGCTCTGAAGTGACCAGAGATGCGTGAGATGGTCAGCAATAGGGGTGGGAATCATTAGGCACCTCACGATTCGATTCGATTACAATTCAGAGGACTGTGATGCGATTATAAAATGATTATCGATGCATCTTGATGCATCTTTTTTTTCTATAGGGGATTTCTATTTTCCTAATGTCTGAGGACTTAGTTTTAAGGTAGTTTTAAAGCAAAGCATTTGTAAAGATCCATAATGCATTTACATCCAATATCTTTTATTAATAAATCAAATGGAAGTGATGTGGCAAGTCAACTAGAAGGCTTTCATTCACTGCTCTTATTTGGAGCACATGAGACGCTGCTGCCATTCATCTGCGATAAAATGCGCTGTTAGGGTGACATAAGATCCTGTGGTAATGCATGTCCACGCAGCACGTTACAGCCATCCTACCCATTTTCTTTAGTGATGTTATAACTTTGGTTTTGGTCTTGTTGTAGAAGGGGGTCGAATCACTGTGTCAGTAAAATATCTTTGAGACGAGACGTTGTATTTCGGCTCCAAAGTGTGCAACATAACGCGAAAGCCCTGGTTCTCAACGACTGAGAACTGGCGTGCAGATAGCACATAGCAACTAAGTCTCGCCGAGCCAGTAGCGAAAGACAAGGCAAAGTGAGAGATTTAGCCAAGACAAACATTTGGAGACGAATGGACTTATTTGCATTTATAAGCAACATAGTTGGTTTCCTGGTACGTTAAATCTGTAATGAAAGACTGTCAAACACTAAAAAGTTGTGAAAATGAAGTCAGCTTCTCTTTTGAATTGTCCCTTCCACCTTAAATGATGCAGCAGTTACATTCAGTGCCTCAGGCAGAATTTAAGGTGGAACGGAAAAATTCGAACGAGAAGCTGGAGAATAAGAAGCAATTTCAGCTTCGTAAATCAGAACATTGAGAGACATTTTACAATAAGCTGCTCTACTTTTGAGGAAAAGTTTCCTGTCGGAAAGGGGAGGTGTAGCGAACACTGGCTGAAACGAACACTCACATGACCTCAAAACATGACCTCAAGTTGAATGTTTACTTAAACTCATCAACAACCAAAAGCTAAAAGCCTTTTGGCTCCAGCGAGTCTGGAGCTGGAGGTGTAAATCTGTCAAATATCACCCCCAACTCCCAAAATCAGTCGATTTACGGCTGAATCAAGGAGCAGCACCCCTCTCTCTCCTTTGACCTGGAGAAAAACAGGACCCTTCACCGGAATGCAGCTGCACAGCTCTCCAAAATCCTGTGGACAATTTTTTCTTAAGTAACAGAAAGTACATTTCTAAGGTATTTGTCCCCTCCAAACTACAACCATTCGTTAGAACTCTTTTTAACTAAACTAGACATAACAAAACGGAATTTGTACGACTTTGGACGGCAAAATTCCAACTTTCTAAATTCCCTAGGGATCTCAAGCATGGACCCACAGCACCCCCAAGGGGTGAAAACGAGGATTACCACGCCACCACCTAAGGACGGTTACTCACAAAGGATCCCAGGAAAACTCATTGATATGCATGCTCGACTATCAACTTTATCTAATTTCACGAGTGATGATGCTTGTATTTGTATACTCAGTTACTTAAAGTGTATTCATCCTTTCTTTGTCAGACGTTAGGAATGTGTGGGATAAATGTCTGAAGTTACCGAAATAACCATTTAAAGTAGTGATTTTAGAACACTATGCACCTAGGTTTTCTTGTCACTTATTTTATTTAGCCTTCTATTTTACTCTTCTCATTTATTTGATGTAGTCATTTGAAGTAATGATTTTACTGTGTTGGAAGTTCCTGCAACGAAAAGACACCCAAGGATTATCTATAAAATTGTTTCTGCCTTTGCCATAGTTCTTCTCAGATAATGTGGGTAGAAACTACACGTAGATACCTAAAACGTTAGATTTGCAGGTTATGGATTTTAGTAACTAATTGATCTGAAAGCTGTTTTGTTTAATCGAATTGAACTTTTAAACCTAGAAGGAACAAAGGAGGGAGTTCCCTGGTAGGACAGAGAAACCCCCCACCAATCAGGACCAAGAATTAGGAATAGCTAATTACCCGTTAGGTGAGAGAAACTATCAACACCTGGGTTCCACCCCTGAAGGGAAGGGCCTCCAGCTGAACAAAACCAGAGTGCACCGCAAAATTTGGGAGAGTTCCTGCGTTCGCAACAAGTTTCTAAGTTTGTGCTGGCCTAGGTCAGAAAGACAGGTCAGAAGTATTAGGACACTAAATTTTCAGATCTGAAACCTGTTCGCCTATACACCTTAAGTTTGAACCACCCTCAGAGAAGGAAGGTGGATATTTCTTGTCTGGCCCGGGAGAATATATCCATAACTTTCGATTCTGCTAAAGAGAGGTAGTTAGTTAAATTGGTACCACCAGCCTCAGAACCCTGATTGCAACCTGAACCTCGCCAGCGGAGTGGGAGCGGTTCTGATGCCACGGAGACCCAGCATCGCACCCAGAGCCACGCACTGATCTGTGAACAGATCGACCCTCGAAAGGCCGCCCAAGCTCCACCATCAGATGGCCACGAGATGTGCCCGCACGGAGATGCAGCATCCACGGCCAGCGAGAAGAGGAACCACCGCGTGAGCTCCAGCCTTCGATCGAGTCTGTCCTGAGACGACCCCACCTGAAGTCAGCCCCCGACTCCCACGTAAGCTGGAACCATCAATTTGCAGTCAGGGCCCTGACGCCAATTTATTTAATAAGAGAACTTATATAGGTACATCCAGCGATATAGTTCTTCCCGTCCAGGCTTAGGTTAATTCTCTAGAGGCTCTCCTAAGCGACTTCCCAAACCACACTGCCTCATACCATTTAGCCGTGAATCACTCTAACTTACTCGAGCTATTTTGTCTTTCATTACTATCATTTTGTTTTGTTTTGTTTTCTTGTTTTATTTTATATTGTTTATCATTGAATGTAGTCCAAAAGTAGTTTGATATTTAGCCAATAAATTCCCTTTTCTGAAGCACCCTTGGTGCGAGCGTTTCTCTCTCTTGCCCTGGTCTGTAGACTTCAAATAAATCCGGGTTACCTTACACCCTCACATAAGGTTCTAGCAATATAATATTAAAAATTGCAAAACCCGTTACAGAGGAAAGCAGCTGTAGCCGAAGCTTAAAGCAGAGCAAAGTAAATCTGCACTCTCGTTTATATTTTTTAGCCTATAGTAGGACATTAGCAGATACTGAGACATACTGGACATTAAATGTTGTGGCTCCCACGGTGGTCTGATTTTTTTTTCGCGATGCATCTAAGAATCAAGTTTTTCCTGCACCCCTAGTCAGCAATGTAACTAGGGATGCATCAATACCAGTACTGGTATTGGGTATCAGTCCAACACGATGCTCATTTACTCATAACAATTCACTGATACCAACATCTCTGATACCGCTGATACTGTGTGATGCAAGCCAAGTGTACGCTGCTGCGCAAATGAAATGAATGAAGCTGGCAGTGAAGGAGGCTCTGCTCAGACAAATTTTGGAGGTCAGACAGAAAGCCATCAGTCACTTTTAACATTCTGTCCTGGTATGATCCCATCAGAAACACTAATACTATTCATTTTCGTATGTTTTTAAACACACACAAACAATATGGGTCGAGACACGTAGGCCAGCTAAAAAGAGACGAAAAGAGTCCACATTTCCTGCTTTACTCTGTTTGACTGAACAGAACTGCGAGGTTAATACAGTGATTTTTTTTGTTCATGGACACAGCTGTCTCTAGAGCTGTGTTTCACGTAGCATGGATGGGATATTTTCGTACAGTGGGAGTCACCAGATAACAAGATTTCTAAAAGCTTGTGTTGTATGGCTGGAAATAACTACCTGGCGGCATTGCAAAGGTGGTCGCAGAGTGAACAGACTTCCCAGATAGCAAGCAAGCAAAGATTATTTATATAGCGCTTTTTACAACAGGTGTTGTCACAAAGCAGCTTTACAGAAAAATCCGGGTCCAAGCCCGCATGACCACGCCAGTGGCGACAGTGGCAAGGAAAAACTCCCTAAGAGCAAGAGAAAGAAACCTTGAGAGGAACCAAGACTCAAAAGGGGAACCCATCCTCCTCTAGTCAACACTGGATAGCAAACAGCGTTAGTATGAAGTATTATAGTACAAAACAGGGAAAACAGGCGGAGCAATGGTTAATTAGGTTAGTTTAGTTTATGCAGCAGCAGCATCATCGGGGGGGTCAATTCATAAGGGTAAGGTGTGCACAGCATTGTACAGCATGAAGCTCAATGATCGTCAAGCCCGTCCAGAAGGCTGGTGAGCAGTGGGCACCCAATCAAGGCAGAAAAAGCAACAGCATCAGACGCACAGGATGGGCAGCTGTTCAACTCGGCAAAGAAAGGAAATCACACAGAGAGTTAGTTCTGTAAAGAGTGACTGATCACAGATTACAGTATTAACAGAGCAGCAGAGACTCTGGCAGGTCTAGTTATTACAGCCCTTTACTAAAAGGGAAAAACCAGAAAGTAACAGAGACATGAGGGCTTCCACCTTCAGCAAACTTGAGTGAACGCATGAGAGCAGCAGGACGACAGCACCAACACTCCCAGTTTACCATAATACTCTATGTCCATGAACCCCCAGCAAGATTTTAGCCTAGACTTAAAGACTGAGGCTGTGTCTGAGTCCCGAATACTGACTGGAAGATTATTCCAAAGCTGGGGGGCTTTGTTTGACAAGGCTCCTCCCCTCCCGATGTAACTTTATCAATTCTAGGTACTAATAGTAAGCCAGGACCTAGTGATCTAAGTAGGCGTGATGGTTCATAGTAGGAGAGAAGTTCACTCAGGTACTGAGGGGTGAGTCTGTTTAGAGCTTTAAAGGTCAGTAAGAGAATTTTATAATCGATGCGAAATTGAACTGGCAACCAGTGTAGGTTTGATACAACTGGGCTGATATGGTCAAACTTTCTGGTTCTTGTAAGGACTCTGGCTACAGCATTCTGGTCTAGCTGAAGCTTGTTAAGGCTTTTGCTGGAACATCCAGACAGCAGGGCATTACAATAATCTAGCCTTGAGGTAATAAATGCATGAACCAGCCTAATGCATTTCTTAATTTAGCAATATTGCGGAGATGCAGGAAGGCTATTCTAGTAATATTCGTTATATGTGTGTCAAAGGACAGATCAGGATCTATCGTGACACAAACATTTTTTGCAGATGAACCTGACACAACTGAGAAATTGTTAAGTGTAAAATTAGATAGTTTGTTTCTATATAGCAAATTTGATATCCAGCATTTACTTGCTCACATACCTAATCGAATGATGGTACAGGAAAGGGCCAGATGCAGCTGCCAGAACACAGCCTGTTTACTGCCATTAAACTGATGCATCTCAGGCACCTTTAAACCACCATTGCCAGAACTGACTGACCACTCAAAACCACTAGTACAAAAACCAGGCTGTTACGCCAACTTCCTTGTTGAGTAGGACTTTCACTGTTGCACAGTGCCCCCAGGCTCGGGGAGAGGTGTTGTGCTTTCACCTCATTGACTACCAGTTGCAGATGGGGCAAATGATAACCACTCTGGTGCTTATAAGCCTGCATGTCCAAAGTGTTTGTGACGCTGTGAGAAAGGTTTGTTTTAATTTAAAGTAACATGGTGGACTTAAAAGGTTAAGTGAACATCAGGTAAGTTTTATTGTTCTATTAACTTACTTTTTGATGTTCAATGAACACAAAATTTAAGTCATATTAAACTAAATCTGAACTAAACTGCGAACTATGATATGTAGTAGTGTTCCCAGTACTGTGTCGGACTAACTAAAATGAACATTTTAACCCAACATTATTCTTTGTTCAAATAACCAACAAAATGTCACCTAAAATGACCAAAATATTTTAGGTTGGATTTTTTTTTTACAGTGTATCCTGTCATATATGGCCAAGATCTGAATTTAAACTATGCACCCCCACAATCCTGTTGATCCCTATTTAAAACATAAATGAATGTTACATAGTTCATGTCAGCACTGGCAATCTTTACCAGAAGTGGCCCAGAACTGTTTTGAGACGTGGGCCATATGGATAAAATTACAGGTTTTCTTCCCGTTCTTGATTACGTAACCCCTTTACGTATATTACATTACTACCCAATTTGGCCTACATTTACGTAAATAATGTTTGTTGTTACTTTGATCATACAATTTTCTCATGTAGGCTGAAGGAAGTGAGAAGACCACAAGCCAGAGTTGGTTGCTGTGTCCACAGGGTAGGTTATGCATTGACTTATATCCTTACTCTTCACACCAATGCATCAGCACTCATGTACTGTTCCGTAAAGAATGAGCCACCTGTTTACACTTTGATTCACAGGAAACAGTGTTTCAGAGGAGCTGGAGCTGGTTCTTCCTGAAGATGTGATCGAGGGATCAGCACAAGCTTCAGTTTCAGTGCTTGGTATGGACAGAAAATATTAAGAGTGAATGTACAGTGTAGGAATTTGACCTAAAGAGTGTCTGTTCTGTTCGGTGGCCCTGGCTAAAATCTATTTGATGACCCTTGAGCACTGATCTTCAGCTCCAGTTCTGGGGACCCACTGACCTGCAGTTTCTGGTATTCTCTGCATGCAGTACACTTGATCCAGCTCATGAAGGGCTTGATAATCAGTTGATGAGCAGGGAATAGTTGAGCAGATCCCCATGACTCCACTAGGCTACAAGATTGTCAATAACTTTTTTGCTTTTGGCCTCACTATAGGTAAATCCCTGGTTGTGTGTGAAAAGCCCAGAATAACAGCAGTTTGGTAAATCCTACAGTTTTTGAAAGCATAGAGCATCACACACGTAACATCAGTCTTCTACAGAATTTTATGCACACACACAAAGCAGAAAAAAAGCAAAATGGGGATGGATGTGTGGTTGAGAAATGCAGATATCACAGTGAGAGCTGGAGAAATATTTGACTACAAACTGACAGCTGACTTGAAATTATACAGAGACTGACTCTTTGCATGTGTTCAACAAGCAGCCCCTCTGTCTATGCCATATACTTAACAAGCAGTGTGCCTGCACGTCTCTTCACCTTTTTTCCTTTCTACTAGCTCTCTCATTGGCTGTAGCCTGAATCGCTCATTCAGTTACATCAGTTACCTCATTCTACAGGACTCATGAACATTTTGAGTCATCAAAATCTAATGTTCGAAAATTTTGGAAGGTCTCCGGTTAGAGGCTTGATTAGAATGTTAAAGCTGGTTTCCCTTTTCACACTACCAGATTATCCACACCATCAATTGACTCTAATGTAGTCTAGACCTGGGTGATATCTAAAAATAAAATACCACAATATATAGTTTAAAAATCACAATTAACAATTATATCTTATATTAATACAGATGATATACTGAACCCATGCCTACATGTTTACATCTTTAAAAAATAGGTGTTTGGCAAAGTCACTCTGGAATTCAACTATAGATGCCTTTGGAAAATCAGGTACTATTATATTTTCACTGTATTCATAATTTACCAACAATTGGGTGTACAGAAAGTACTGCAATGTACTGCAACAAGTAGTATTAAATATTTTTTTATTATATCTTTTTCCTGATCCTGTTTCCTAGCCATAAAATTTCCCAACATATGTAGGAACTGTTTGAGGTAAATTAGTCCTGTCTAATTCTTTGTCAGTTTCCAAACAAGGCAATTATCGCCTTTTACGCATCGCCATCGGGTCACTTCTTAGTCAATCAAGTATATCTGCTTACAGCATCCAGGCCTAGTCAAATACCTTTAGAAAATAAGATACATACTTGGAACGATTTGCATCCCACTTTACAAACAAGTGCCCTGATCAACTGCTTTCTCTCCCTCCAGTCAAAGCTACCAATGTGTTTTCACAAAGATGCAGGTTAAAGAAATATTTTTAATAAATGACATTTTAAATTTTAAAAACTACGTTAAATGAGGAATCACATTATTGCATATGAAATATCATTTATGTTTTGTATTTCTCTATTTTTCATTTTTAATGATATGGTTTCAATATCTAGTTTCACATGTTTTACTATGGCCTGTGGTCCTCATCAACATCTGTAAACCAAAAAAAAAAAAACAAACATACAGCTGACAACACACACACATCACCTAAACTGCTTATCCCTCTGGGTCATGTTGTTTATTAAATAGCAATGATGTGAAGATGATGAAGAAGTCTACACTGACACCGTCTCACTTGTATAAGATGTTTATTATAAAGTAAAACAGTATCATATCAAGCACCATAAAGTACCTGAGAGAGGATCCATGCCAATTCTAATGTGTCCCCTTCCGAGCAGTATAGCCTGCTGCTTAAATAGGCTGGTTGTTTTTGACAAAGGGAGCAGAACATATGGTCTTTCTTAAAATAGTCTCATTCTTCTGGAACTAAAAGAGGAAGGGAACCTTGACTCTTGGACCTGTGGACCAGGGGCCCCCTAAACTTAAACATTTCAAACCTACAAAGTCAGATAACACATGGAGCTTGGATACTACATATTTCCCCCCTTCGAGACTACGCAGAGTCTCGAAAAACAAAAAAGTAACACATACATGTTTATAGTTGTAACAAAATAACAGGTCCTACTACACATGCTTCCTACAGCATAACCTTAGCAATACAACAACTTTATGGAGTGTGAGAGCGAAAAAACCTGTCCGGCAGCTATCTTTCCTGAAATGTCCATCAAACAATCAAGACAGGTGCCTTAGGCGACCACATAGAGTACTCCAGACTAATTTAAAAAGGAGGAATTTTAACAAGTCATGTAGGGATATGACTTAAGCAAATACATATGGAAACCTCAGAAAATAAAATCAAAACAATGTCCACCTTCAGGTTGGTCAACCCATCGGACCTTCCAATGGACCTTTCCCTGCCTAACACCAATATCCCTAATACCAAAAAAAGAAAAGAAACATCTAAGGTCCCATATACTTACCCAATAACAGAAAACATCAGTATTCAAGCAATTTAAACAAAGAACGTGTTATAAATTTAAATACTACTCATGCAGTAAACAACTCAAACTCTCAATCCAACTTTTATGTCTTACTAAGATTATCACTACCTCATAAATGTCCTCTATCAATATCACACATTACAATATAATAGAACAAAATCCAATACTATGCAAATATATATGAGAAGACATAAAAATGTATTACACTGCAGCTCCTCAGCAGTGTCGACTCTCAGTGTAGTGTCGATGATGTGTTGACTCTGGGCATTGCATCACAGTGTCCTTATTCAAAGTCCTCCAGTCCATTCTTATTGTCCATGTACATCGGGGTCCCTAAAGGTTCAACCACCCTTACAGTGGTCTTCCCCCAACCTTGTTCTTGAAGGAAAGAAAAGAAAACCACCAACCAGTATCTTTTGCAAAAACAACAGATGCAAAATGAAAAATCTAATATAGATTAACACCTTATAAGTAAATGTGAAATTCACAGTATCATACTTTCACATTATTCCAAGTTATAAGTCACATTTTTCTATTTCCCCTTGCAATCATCCCACTCTATAGTAAGAGACCACTAAATACCAAAATAGTAACAGAAATAAATGTCAAGACTATAATAAGAGTAGATATTCAGAATGGATATTTCTCCATCAGTTCGCCTTCTATCACCACTTCCTCATCATCGTCTGTGTCAGTCCTATGTAGTAATGGCATCTGAACTTGATCTCCAGGCATCACAACTCCAACCCATCTCAATATCATAGCCTTCGCAAAGGTTAACAACAACGTACAGAAACAGAACATCACACTCAATGATATGAGAACTGCTACCATAACCTGAACCAACACTGCTCCCAACGGTCCTAATTTCTCCTGCAACCAAGTATTCGCAGACCATCCAGCTCCTTCCGATGGGCCAAACGCATCCCTTATATGCTTCAATGCATCTATGACACTAGTCATATTGTCAGAACTATCAGGAATCAAAGTATAACAGGCATCCCCAGTTAAGTTCAAAGCCACACATAGGCCACCTTGTTTGGCCAAAAGATAATCAAGAGTCATGTCATGTTTCAGCAACATCAATCTATGACTCTTTTGAGTATTTGACAAATATTCAAAACCTCTTATAGTCTCATTCACAAAACCCTGTATGGTATAAGTAATATTATCAATGTGATCTGCCAAAAATGTCACCCCATACCATGGAAACAATCCTATACCCCACTTCTCTCCTAGACTTATCCTCCAATGATAAGACTCCAGATTATGAAATTGTGCCAGTTCCCTTTTCTTCCTACTTCCAGAAATAGCATCAGATTGAACCTCATCAGATACTTTCGCCTTCTGGACAGTAAAAACCTCATATGGAAGCTTCAAGGTCCCTATATATCAGCATCCTATCACCCATATGGTAGAAATATATATGCCTTATCACCACAAACCCACCAAATATCCTTAAAATTCCCTATGGTCACATTTCCAGGCAACTTTTGGTTCCACACCATCAAAACTCTACTCAGTTTGTGATGTGGTACCTGAAAAGTCACTTTATACAAGTCATCCATAGCCTTATATTTACGCTCACCCAAGTCCATAATATAGTTGTTACAGTCTGATAGTCCCATAAACTTTCCAGGCCCATTATGAGTATCATCTGAACAAAAACAATCTTTAGCCCCCACAGATTTCACTTCCAACGGATCAGGGATCGCTGTTATCATATTTTGATGCTGATCAAGTAAATTCACATATGGGAACTCCCTCAACCAAGAACAATTATATCTAGGCCTAAACAGATGCACTGACAGAGCCATTACCTTATCTTCTGCTGATTGCTGCTGATATAACAGCCACGATAATGCATAAGATTGACATTCAGGACTTAATGGTTCTGGTACCGTCTCTAAAATTGAAGGCCATGTACCTGGTGCTTGAACTTTCACCATACATGGACAATTCAGTTTTCTAACCGATCTTACAGAATGAGTTAACTGCTGGAACCATAAGTTCCTACCTGCCCATGGGTCTGCGATTTGTAACACCGAGGAATCAAATCCATATGCCTTCCAATTAGTTTCTCTCTTCTGTAATACATGATAATGGTCAGTCATGTCTTCTGGTGTAAGGTCAAAGTCAAAAAACTCATCTTCCACCATCTGTTCTCTAGGTTCAAAAATCTCATTGCTACTATTCACACTAAGCTCCATCTTTAACATAGGTTTCTGGGTTATATTTTCTACTTCTTTAAAGTTCAAAGATGTTATATCAGGTATCTGTTTCACATTTACAAATTTCGTAGGTGACAAAGATGTCAATGTTTTATTGGCAAACGTTGCCCTTGGCCTTTCCTCATTCGTGATATTTCCAGAAGTAGCTAAAGTAGAAATTGTCACCATCCCTGTAGTAGCATTCACCCCCTTCAAAGTTGTACCTAAAGTAATAATCTGAATTGATGTATTAACGCTCCTAGTTGTTTCCGGAGCTAAAGTAGTAAACTTCATCAATGCAATATTCACCCTTGGAGTGGTTGCTGTGGTGAATTGTTCCTGAACCCTTTTAGTAACCATAAAAACTCCAGTAGAACTGAAATCTTCTATCATAACTACTACCTTACGAGTTATATAACCCTCTCTCCACACATTTTGAAATGGAACAAATTTAAACTCTGGCTCAAAATAAGTGCATGTGTATTCCCCTTGGTCTTCCCATGTAACATTATGCACAACAAGTGAACAGTCATCCCTAACTTTCAACCACCTCCAGTCATTAAACAAAAGATACTTCCTTTGATCACGAGGCACAGTGTCAACTTCAGGTCCTGTTAACAACACATCTTCACCACGACTATTTTTTATTACCACCAACATTAAATCTTCCACATTGACAGGGAGATTAACCGCTCTTTCTAAGTTAGCTCTGATGACCGTCTTCAAATGAGTTGACGTCGTCGAAATCATCTGAGACGCCAACGTAGTTAAATGCGATACATTTATACCTTCAATAACCTTCAATGCTAAAAGAGTAGAATTCCCTAAGGTCTCTTCAACCCTAGTCCTTGTACCATTTTGGTCTGACCCTTTTCCAAACTGGTCTTGGACTCCTTTGTGTAACTGAATCTCTAAATTCTTCTGCAGTGGAATCACAGCCCTTTGAAACCTTTGGCGCTTCGCACTCCACTGGAATAGGCTCTGCTGTTTCTGGGACATGTTGAAAATCAATGTCACCAAATCTTCTTTCCTGTCCATTAACTGCAGAGTCATTTCTGGCATTATCAGAAAGGTGCACAGAATCATCAACGTTGTCCACAACATGAACAATCTCTTCTTCTGGATTTTGGCTCTGGAGATCTGTATGCATCTCTTCTTCTTCTGCATGTTCTTCCACATTTCCTTCTGGCTCACTTGAGCCTTCAACATCTCGACTTTGTAAGCGTGGCGCCTCTTCCCTTGGCGCTTTGACACAATGCGATAAATGATACCACGTTGGAGACCCTTTAACCTGGACCGCAGTTCCAGTACTGCGAACAACTTCAAATGGTCCTTCACAGCGTTCATTATACCACTTCCTTCTAAACACCTTCACGAACACCTTATCTCCAGGTTGCACTGTGCTCCTCTTTTGTTCATCGAGCCTCTCCTGCACTTCTTCCTTTCTTTGCCTGTCAGAAACGTACATATATATTCTTTTATGCAAATTAGGCATATATGTAATGTACACTCACAGTTCATCTTCCAAAAGGGCTAAGCTTGGACCCTTTCCACTTGTACGCAGACAAGGCGTTGGCATTCGTCTTCCCGTAACCAAATCATGAGTCTGTTTAATTCCCAGTTTTTGCAAAATCAATTTCATCGTCTTATCCACAAACTCTTTCCCATTATCTGAGGATATCCGATCTGGAAGTCCCCACCTGCTTATGACCTCTTTACACAGAAACTTGGCAACTGACTGAGCGTCCTTCAGCTTGGTCGGACAAGCTTCCAGCCATCGCGAAAATCTATCCACAACAACTAACATTTATCTCTTACCTTCAACTGGTTTTATCATGTCAACAAAGTCCACTACTAACTCACGCATAGGACCCCTCTGAGTTGGAATGTGAGCAGGAGGAACCATCACACCCCTTTGAACATTATTTTTCAAGCAGATAGTGCATTTGACTGTTCCATTTGATTCAAATCCGGGTCATTTCCTGTAACATTCCTCCACACTTGATGGGCTCTTGACACATAGGCCCTCGGGTTTTCTTCCTGTCCTAGTGGCTCAATAAGAATATTATCAGGATGTACATTTGTCGGAAATGTATCTCTCAGCGCTCTCCACACTTGACCTCTATTTGCAGAAAACAGCTCTGGATCATTCACAGCAGTCCCCACATATCGATTAAGTCCAGCTTTCTGTAGAATCTCTTCCATAGCCGGAACCCCAAGGAGGTTAGCCAAAAGTCTCTTAATATCTCCTTTTGCGGGCTGCGTTCCCACCATAATCTCTTCCAACTTTGAAATCCAAGGATGTGCTCCATCCTGAAGAGTAGGTAACTTCTCAGGTATATCTGACATATCTGTGTTTTGCCAAGGCTTGTACTCCAAGCTCTGTCCTCGAATGACCACTGGACACATTTTCTTGTGTGTCTTCCCTTTTCTTGTGCATAATGCATATATCATATCCAATTTTTGGGAGCCTCCTTTCCGCAACTCTTTCTTCTGTATTTGCAGCTCCTTTAATTGATTCTCCAGTGCTTTTTGGCTTTCTGGTTTAAATGGATTGATCCAAGTATGAAAGACATTGATCTATACTTCTTTCAACCTCTCTTAAAGCTCTCTTTTTATCCTCTTCTATTCTGGTACTGGATGCCACAGGAAAAAAACCCTTTCGAAGACAAAGGATCCTCACTTTCCGAATCTCCATCGCTGTCTCCATTCTCGTTCTCGTTAGAACTATCATCTCCTGAGTCCTCTTTCCTCCATGTTTTATCTCCCCTCTATTCTGCTCTCTCCAATATTCGCCTGACTGCAGGGTCATATCCACCCATGATCCCTTCTAGGTCACTTTGATCACCATCATCTCCAGATTTCATCCTCCTGATCCTCAGTTCACCCTTAGTTTCCAAACGTGCCATTTTTTTCTTACTTTTGGAACTTGGATACATCTTTATAGTTGTTTCTGCTTGACCCGCTTCTATTATCTGATCATCCTCATCTCTAATGCGATATTCACCTTCTTGACTAATCACTGGGAGCTGGGGATAAATTTCCTTAAACTTCACCTCCTTCTCATAAGGTGGGGGTCTCTTTACTGGATCCGTATGTGAGAAAGGTACATTAATTTCTGCCACTAATTTTTCTATTTCTTTTGCATTTTCTCCTATTTCTTCTGCACCTTTATCTCTTTTATCTTTTGCAGCTTTTATCAGTTTCTGTCCCTCGTTATCAAACAACTGGAGAATACCAAGCTCTACTTGTCTCTTTTCTTTACGTTTTTCCCCCTTTTTACCCTTTTTTTTGATCTGCCTTATACGTGGACACAAGCACCTGCATTGTTTTAATTACATCTGGGTTAAGGGTCCCCTCCACTGGCCAGGGTTGTTCAATTTCAGACCAATGCTTATGCCATTTCTCCGATATCTTTGCGATGCCTTTAACTAAAGGATTATTCTTCTGTACTACATCAACAGGAGTAATTACTTTCGACATTTTAATGTCCTTTTTCAACTTTATAATGGCTCCCTTATGTTCCCTTATTGTAAATTAAAAATAATTACTAAGATTAAAAGTACTTTAAACTATTTAGATTTTTTCTCCCTTTTTTTTAAAACCACTAATTTACCACATCAGTAAAAATGAAAGAAATTTGCCAACTTCAAAGAAATCAGAAACGTATTAATGTAATAGCAATTCACAACACTAAGCCCACCTATAATACTGACTAAGCACACAAATAATCTACCTTATTGTAAGTAAAATCTTCTCCAAATATCCTGCAAATAAAAGAAATCCAATCCTTATTAAACTCAAAGAAACCACGCATTCCCACAAGGGACCAACTAACACCAAATGTGTTCCTATTTGCAACAAAACAATACCTATTTATCACCCAATGTTCTCACCCATGCACCTCAACTCATCAAATAGTCTCAATATTGAATCCCCAGCACAGCTCAAATCAGAATAAACCATGCACAAACAATAAAACTCACACTTGCTATTCTTAACAGGGTTCAAACAACATAAGCATATTCCATTAATTAATTAAATGCATTGTTCGGTCAGTCTGTTGCCAAACCTCTCTTTTGAAAGACTACAACATATAGTATCATATAAGCAAATGGATATACTCTATTAACCCCAAATTGAGAAATAATCTTATAATAGCCTATAAGTGAAAGCAGATTACATATGTATCAACAATAATAACTATAAATAAGTATACATACATATATTTAGAATGCAGGTATTTGTCAAAAAGAGTTTTGTGGATAAAACACACTGGCCTTTGTTGTTTATTAAGTAGCGATGGTGTGAAGATGAGGTGAAGGAAAACTCCGCTGACACTATGTTACCAGTAAGATGTTTATTACAAAGTAAAACAGCATCATATCAAGCACCATAAATTACCTGAGAGAGGATCCGTGCCAATTCTAAATGTCCCCCCTCGAACAGAATATTCCAGCTGCTTATATATTGGACTTGTTGTTGAAACAGGAGACAGAACATATGGTCCTTTTTTAAATGATCTCATCTATTTGGAACTAAGAGAAGAAGGGAGAAAGTGAGAGGCCTACTTCCTATGGGGCTTTGGACCAGGGGGCCCCTTAATTTAAACATTCCTAACCCCTGCAAAAACAGAGCACACAGAGAACTCCAGACCCCAATTTATGCTGAAAGTTCGTAAGAGTGTTTTTACCTTCTTCTATAAAAATGTTCCTTTTAAATATACTTCATTTCCCCCCTTCGAGACTTACCACAAAGTCTCGAAAAACAAAAAAGTAGCACATACATATTTGTAGTTGTAACAAAATAACAGTTCTTCCTACACATGCTTCCTACAGCATAACCTTAGCAATGCAACAACTTTCTGGAGTGTGAGAGCAAAAAAACCTGTCAGGCAGCTATCATTCCTGCAATGTCCGTACATAATCAATCTGTTCAAGCAAGCATGGTGCCCTTTGTAATCTTTCATCTGACTTCTCCCCTTGCAACATGAGCTAGCCCATGTGCCTACTGAATCATCAGACCTAACAGGTCTGGAGGTGCTATTATCAGCCCCTCATGATTTCTCCAAAGACCAGTAGAATCTCGAGTGGCACCTCGGTCTAGCCACAACTGTTTATCCATTGCAGGAGCAGCTTCCTGCATTAAAATCACATCCCTAAGTATGATTTTGTCTTCCACGTTTACTTCATGAGTGACCAAAAACACTTTGCCCAATTTATCAGCTCCTGTAACTGCTTTGGCAGCTTCATCAGCCACTTTATTCCCTTGTGTGACCTTCGAAACATCCGTTTTATGTGCTGCGCACTTAGCTATTGCTATTTCTTTAGGCTTCATCATAGCATGCAATGATTTCATTATCTGATCGTGATGCTGTATTGGAGAGCCATCCGTTTTCTTAAACCCTCGGTTCTTCCACACCGATCCAAACAAGTGACACACATTGTAAGCATACGCGGAGTCACTATATATGGTCACATGCTTACCTCCCGCTAACAAACATGCTTCAGTTAATCCCACAACTTCAGCAAGCTGTGCAGACGCAGGCTGTGGTACTACTCCAGCCTTCTCAATGACAAATTCAGTCCCTTGGGCTTTTACTACTGCATAACCAGCACTCAATTTATCTCCCACACGATAACAGGACCCATCAGTCCAGTACTCCAAGTCTGCCTCACGCAATGGGAGGGCTTGCAAATCTGATCTAAGCTTAGAGTATTTCTCTGCTTCTTGAACACAATCATGTGGTTCACCATCCTCTGGAGTTGGCAAATTCTCAGCTGGATTCACTGTGACACACCTTGCTAGGGTAACATCTTCCTGCTCCAAGAGCCTATGATAGTCTCTAAGTCTAGACATAGTCAATGTGTATTTGCCATAATTCAAGAGATTTATAAGACTATGATGGGTAAGTATTGTCACCGGATAACCCATTGTGACAGATGATGCCTTATCATGCATTAAAAAAACTCCCACCAGTGCTCTGTAGCACAGCGGTAGCCCCAGCTCTACTTCTGAATAAGCAGTAAAATAATAAGAAATAGGTTGAGGATTTGTCCCCGTACCTGTTGGCTGACAAAGAACTGCACATGCATATTTACCCCCAGTGGAAGTAGACACATATAACAAAAAATTCAAATAGAATAGTCCAGAAGCGCTAGTGCTGGAGCCTCTTATAACCTCTGTTTGATCGTTTTAAATGCCAAAAGGCCATCCTGTGTCCAAGAAAGGTTACAATGAGGTTGAGCATTCCCAGTATCTTTAATCACAGCTCTCAAAGGCCCTGTTACATTAACATAATCCTCTACCCATGCTGAAGAATAGCCAGCAATACCAAGAAATGTCATCATCTCTCTGACTGTTCTGGGCTTAGGAGCCTTGCGAATAGCTTCTAACTGACTATCAGAAATGCTTCTGTGTCCCTGCGTTATTGTCTGACCCAAATAAACTCCTTTCTCCTGACAGTACTGCAACTTCTTCAGAGAGACCTTGTGTCCCTTTTCTGCCAGTATCTGTAACAATTTAATTGAATCCTTATGACATGTTTCCTCATCTGGTGAACAAATAATAATGTCATCCACATACTGTACTACAGTGCTTTTTAATAGCTGATCTATCCCTGCCAAATCATCCTTCAATACTTTATTAAAAATATGAGGACTATGTTTAAATCCTTGTGGTAATCTCTTATACTCACAAAACTGTCCATTGTATGTGAACCAAAATAAACCCTGACTTTCTATGCTAAGTGGAACACTGAAAAATGCACCACATAAATCTAACACTGTGAAATGTGTCGCATCTGGAGGAATTTGGGCTAACAAAGTATGCGGATCCAGCACTTCTGCTGGAAAATCAGCTACCACTTCATTCACCGCTCTCAAATCATGTACCAGGTGATAAGAATCATCCGGCTTCTTCACAGGCAGCAAAGGCATGTTACTCTGAGGATTCTGTGTTATCTTCAAAACATTTGCTTTCAAAAGTCCTTTAATCTGTGGTTCAATCCCTCTGATTGCCTCTTCTTTCAGCGGATACTGGTTCTTCCAAGGAGATTTGATTCCTGGTCGAAGTTCAACTTTCACTGGTTGGGCTGACTTCACAAGTCCGAGACCACAAACATTCTGGAACTTGTCGCAACATCTCTTCTTTCAAAGAGTCTGAATCCATCTTAACACAGCAAATTGACTCATGTGTCATCCGCACAGTTTGTGGCTGTCCCTGTCCTTAAGCAGAAATCATAATCTTAATAAACCACTGATCCTTACTCCTCCAGATGGCAAGATTCTCTTTCACCGGTTCAAAAAACAGCTTCCTCTGCTTCTACCATCATTTCTCCTATGTGCTTCTGCTCGTATTCTTCAGACACCAACAAAGTCACATGTGGCACACTCTTCTCAATGTCAAACTCTTTATCCAAGTAACCATCTCTATCTATCTTCATAGCTGCTCCTTGCGGTCCCAAAATTATACAGCACGACCGAAGCTGAACTTGCTTTGGTTGACGTCTCAACCATTCCTCCGAGTTTGATTGAGCAGCATCCTTGAAATACTTGAGCGTGCAGTGAAATGGATACTCTGGAAGCTTTGCATCAGGCATGTTCACTACAAGAAACTTCTCCCACAACTTAGCTGGCTCCAAAAAATCTGCACTAAGATTTCCAATCCAAAATACTGAAGAAGCTTCAGTCTCCGTTGTCATCAATAATTGGGGAGCAATATCATTTGGCACTTCCACCAGACAGCTGTCTGGTGTACACTTTATTGTACAATTCAATCTACACAAAGCATCTCTTCCCAAAAGTGCAATAGGTGTATGTTCTGATACCAGTATAGGCAATGTAGTCTTCATATTTTTATAGCAGAGCTCAATTGGTTCTGTGAGAGGAATCAGCTGTTTCACTCCCTCAAACCCGATTGTCCGAATCCATTGGCCAGACATGGGGAGATGTATAGCATCTTCAGGCCGAATACAGGTGAAAGCAGCTCCGCTATCCGCCATCACTTCCAATGGTCGATTATTCACCTTAACCTTTATTGTTGGATCTCTCTCTGGCCCTGATGCTACCAGCTGACACCCCCCTCTCAGGTCCTCTGGGCACCTCTAGAATCCTGGTTCTGGACCCCTGTAAGGGTTCACCGGTCCCCCAAATGGCCTTGGTTGGCCCCTGAAGCCTCCTCTAAAATTTCCTCTGAAATTTCCTTCTGGTCTGTTGCACTCACGAGCAAAGTGGCCAAACTGTCCACAATTATAACACACTAATAAGGACTGTTGGATTAAACCTTCCTCCTCTTCCTCTTCCTAAAGTTCCTCGACCTCTTCATCTCCAGGTCTGCGCTTGATCAAAAGTTGGCTGTGGGGAGGCAGCAACTGGAACCACTGACAATGGCTGAAACGACTGGGCCTGATTGTGGTAATGGTTGATTTTGCGGAGGCTGGCTCTGTATAACCAAGGCCTGCTTCTTCTCTTTCTTCTTGTTATCCACCAGCTGTATTTGATTAAGTTTTCTGAGGGTTTTTTGGTCCTGTTCTTTCTGGTCATGTTCCTTTTTCCTATATAGCTCCACTTGATGGGCTATGTGATCCGTATAAACATCCTTTGCCATACTTCCAAGACCAACCACCTCTGCCAGTTTACTCCTCACTGGTAGAGGCAGCCCCTTCTGTATCTTGGCTCGCAAAATTGACTGTTCCATTTGATTCAAATCCGGGTCATTTCCTGTAACATTTCTCCACACTTGATGGGCTCTTGACACATAGGCCCTTGGGTTTTCTTCCTGTCCCAGTGGCTCAATAAGAATATTATCAGGATGTACATTTGTCGGAAATGTGTCTCTCAGTGCTCTCCACACTCGACCTCTATTTGCAGAAAACAGCTCCAGATCATTCACAGCAGTCCCCACATATTGATTAAGTCCAGCTTTCTGTAGAATCTCTTCCATGGCTGGGACTCCAAGGAGATTAGCCAAAAGTCTCTTAATATCTCCTATTGCGGGCTGTATCCCCACCATAATCTCTTCCAACTTTGAAATCCAAGGATGTGCTCCATCCTGAAGAGTAGGTAACTTCTCAAGTATATCTGACATATCTGTGTTTTGCCAAGGCTTGTACTCTGACCACTGGACACATCTTCTCGTGTGTCTTCCCTTTTCTTGTGCGTAATGCATATTTCACATCCAATTTTTGGGAGCCTCCTTTCCGCAACTCTTTCTTCTGTATTTGCAGCTCCTTTAATTGATTCTCCAGTGCTTTTTGGCTTTCTGGTTTAATGGATTGATCCAAGTACGAAAGACATTGATCTATACTTCTCTCAACCTCTCTTAAAGCTCTCTTTTTATCCTCTTCTATTCTGGTACTAGATGCCGCTGGAAAAAACTCTTTCGAAGACAAAAGACCCTCATGCTCCATTCTCACTCTCATTAGAACTATCATCTCCTAAGCCTGCTTTCCTCCATGTTTTATCTCCCCTCTATTCTGCTCTCATCAATATTCGCCTGACTGCAGGGTCATATACACCCATGATCCCTTCTAGGTCACTTTGATTGCCATCATCTCCAGATTCCATCCTCCTGATCCTCAGTTCACCCTCAGTTTCCAAACATGCCATTTTCTCCTTACTTTTGGAACTTGGATACATCTTTATAGTTGTTTCCGCTTGACCCGTTTCAATTATCCAGTCATCCTCATCTCTGATGCGATATTCACCTTCCTGGCTGATCACTGGGAGCTGGGGATAGATTTCCTTAAACTTCACCTCCTTCTCATAAGGTGGGGGTCTCTTTACTGGATCCATATGTGAGAAAGGTAGGTCAATTTCTGCCATTATTTTTTTCTATTTCCTTTGCATTTTCTCCTATTTCTTCTGCACCTCTATCTCTCTTATCTTTGGCCACTTTCATCCGTTTCTGTCCCTCGTATTCAAACAACTGGAGAATACCAAACTCTACTTGTCTCTTTTCTTTACGTTTTTCCCCCTTTTTACCCTTCTTTTGATCTGCCTTATACGTGGACACAAGCACCTGCATTGTTTTAATTACATCTGGGTTAAGGGTCCCCTCCACTGGCCATGGTTGGTCAATTGCAGACCAACGCTTATGACATTTCTCCGATATCTTTGCAATGCCTTTAACTAAAGGATTATTCTTCTGTACTACATCAACAGGAGTAATTACTTTCGACATTTTAATGTCCTTTGTCGACATTGTAACGGCTCCCTTGTTCCTTCCTTGTTCCCTTATTGTAAATTAAAAATAATTACTAAAATTAAAATTACTTAAAACTATTTAAATTACTTCTCCCTTTCTCTCTTTTTTCAAACCACTAATTTACCACATCAGTAAAAATGAAAGAAATTTGCCAACTTCAAAGAAATCGGAAACATATTAATGTAATAGCAATTCACAACAATAAATCCACCTATAATATGGACTAAACACAAAAATAATCTGCCTATTTGCAAATAAAGTTTCCTCAAATATCCTGCAAATAAAAGAAAATCCAATCCTATATAAAGCTCAAAGTAATCACGCACCCACAAGGGACCAACTATCACCAGATGTGTTCCTATTCGCAGCAAGAAAATCACATATTTATCACCCAATGTTCTCACCCATGCACCTCAACTCATCAAATAGTCTCAATATTGAATCCCCAGCGCAGCTCAAATCAGAATAAACCATGCACAAACAATAAAACTCATATTTGCTATTCTTAACAGAGTTTAAACCAAATAAGTATATTCCATTAATTAATTAAATGCATTGAACAGTCAGTCTGTTGCCAAACCTCTCTTTTTTTCTTAAACTACAGCACATAGTATCAACATAAACAAATAGTTATACTCTTTAACCCCAAATAGAGAAATAATCTTATAATAGCCTATAAGTGAAAGCAGATTACATATATATATATCAACAATAATGACTATAAATAAGTATACATACATATATTTAGAATGCAGGTATTTATCAAAAAGAGTTTTGTGGATAAAACTGACCTTAATCAGATTGGAGTCAGATGGGTATGCGGTCATCAGAAGGCCTCAATCTGTGTCAGCACTGGAGCTGGCCTTCCCCCTCTTCTCTTTCTCTCTCTCCCCTCCAATCTTCACACACCAGAGGTGGATAAAGGAAAAAACAAATCAGAATTAAGTATCAAATGAACTACTACCACTAGGTATTATGGACCACACAAAAGCAATCCAATATGATTACACACATTATCTGCCAACACTTTAGGTCATTTTTATCTATAACAAATGTTTTCCTCCTTTAAACACCAAGTTATCATCAATAAAGACATTTCAGTTTATTTCACTCTAATAACACCTTACATACTCATTCAATTTTCTTTACCCATACACATAAACATCCTCACTGGTCTCTCCACTCATCTCCAAAATTATAAATGTCCTTCTTGGGGGCTCATGACTGTTTTAAATTAATTTATAAAAGTCATCTTATTCTTTATGAGGCTCCTAAATCTTAACTTTATCTTAAATCTTAAATCTAAAAATGTCCCCCAGGAAAGCTCATGATATTAACGATATCAAAGAAATGCCCTCTCATAGAGGTTCATATACTTTTACACATTATCATTTATACATTCCTAAAGCCAGTCACACAGCTGGAGCACAGCCAAGACAAGCAACGCACACACACACGCATACACACATACACATACGCACACACATACGCACACACGCATATGGAGAAGCCAGCTCTGCACACGCATAGTGGGGGGGGGGCAATCCCCCTCACACAGAAGCACACAGCACGCTCAAAGACACAGAAGACAAAAAACAAAATTTATCCTATAGCATGCTTTTTCCTGCTGATCCTTTTTTCCCTTTTTCTTCACCTCTTTTTCTACACCTCCAGTTCCTTAGAACTGACCCGAAATTCACCCAGTGATTTTCCAGGATTTTAGGCCCGTCTAAAACCGCCTCCCAGAGGGCTTTGGTCCAAATCTGCGGCTCCTTTTCTCTTTTAACTCATATCATCTCTATTCTCTTCCCTTTTCTTATTTCCCTTTAACTCTTATCCTTTCTATTCTCTTTAACTCTTCTCGTCTCTACTCTATTTTCTTTAACTTCTCTTATTCTCTTCGCTCACCTGAATAGCCGGGCTGGAGCGGGAGTTAGTGCGCTAAGGCTGTCGGCGACACAGCCAGCCACAACACGTCCGAAGTTCGTGACGCCAAATTCTTGTTGTTTATTAAGTAGCGATGGTGTGAAGATGAGGTGAAGGAAAACTCCGCTGACACTATGTTACCAGTAAGATGTTTATTACAAAGTAAAACAGCGTCATATCAAGCACTATAAAGTACCTGAGAGAGGATCCGTGCCAATTCTAAATGTCCCCCCTCGAACAGAATATTCCAGCTGCTTATATACTGGACTTGTTGTTGAAACAGGAGACAGAACATATGGTCCTTTTTTAAATGATCTCATCTATTTGAAACTAAGAGAAGAAGGGAGAAAGTGAGAGGCCTACTTCCTATGGGGCTTTGGACCAGGGGGCCCCTTAATTTAAACATTCCTAACCCCTGCAAAAACAGAGCACACAGAGAACTCCAGACCCCAACTTATGCTGAAAGTTCTTAAGAGTGTTTTTACCTTCTTCTATAAAAATGTTCCTTTTAAATATACTTCACCTTAATCAGATTGGAGTCAGATGGGCATGTGGTCGTCAGCAGATCCGTGTCAGCACTGACCAGATACTCCCTCTTCTCTTTTTCCCCTCCAATTCTCACACACCATAAGTGGATAAAGGAAGAAACAGATCAGAATTAAATATCAAATGAACCCACTAGGTATTTTTAACAACACAATAAGCAATTCAATATGATTCACGCATGTTATCTGCCAACACTTAATATTTATGAGCCTCATAAAGGCTCATAAATATTATGTAAATTCATAAAATCCTCTTTTCTGAGGTTTATAAATCTTATCAGATCCAAAAATGTCCCCCAAAGAAAGCTCATAAGTTTGAACAAAATCAAAAAAACGTCCTCTCAGAGAGGCTCATATGCTTTTTACATATTATCATTACACATTCTTAAAGCCATTCACTCAGCTGGAACACAGCCAAGACAAACGACACACACACACACACACACACACACACACACACACAAACACACACAGACCAGCTTCGCACACACACACAGTAAGGGGGAGGGCAATCCCCCTCACACAGGAACACACAGCAAGGTCAGAGACCACCAAAGACACAAACAATACTCAATCCGAAATGTTCAAAGTCGACTTATTCATACTTATGAATCCTATAGCATGCTTTTTCCTGCTGCTCCTTTTCCTCTTTATCTTCTAAATTTATGCTACCTTTATAAGGTGTGAATATTCCATAAAAAGCTGCTTCAGACACTGTTTGTCAACTAGTGTTCGAGTGGGAACTTACAATTGAATTACTAATTAGGCTATTCTACACTTTTACATCAACTGTCCTTTTCCCTATTATACTCCCCCCTTATTGCAGCGTTTACACCGCAATAAAAGCAAATTTAGAACAGAGAAATACTCCAAACATCAACACAGCATGGCACGCACACACACATGATTCTTTACGGTGCGACTAGACAGCAACACCCAACAGCCCCAACAAACTAACCAGCGCACAACGATGTGAAAAACCTTACTTGCTGGCCTGGTACGGGAGCAAGCACACGAAGACTGTCGGTGACGCAGCAAGCCACAACACGTCCGAAGTTTGTGACGCCAAAATCTTGTTGTTTATTAAATAGCAATGATGTGAAGATGATGAAGAAGTCTACGCTGACACCGTCTCACTTGTATAAGATGTTTATTATAAAGTAAAACAGTATCATATCAAGCACCATAAAGTACCTGAGAGAGGATCCATGCCAATTCTAATGTGTCCCCTTCCGAGTAGTATAGCCTGCTGCTTAAATAGGCTGGTTGTTTTCGACAAAGGGAGCAGAACATATGGTCCTTCTTAAAATAGTCTCATTCTTCTGGAACTAAAAGAGGAAGGGAACCTTGACTCTTGGACCTGTGGACCAGGGGCCCCCTAAACTTAAACATTCCAAACCTACAAAGTCAGATAACACATGGAGCTCAGATACTACAGTCACAGGCGTGCTTGAGCCTATTCCAGCTGTCATTGGGAGGAAGGCAACTGACAACAAAAGATGCAAAAGATATTAGTATGTAATATTTCCCAAAAGTAAATCAGTAAAGCAAAGTTGCCCATCTTTCCAGGAGTGGGCTTTTTACAGACACAGGATCAGGAAAACTTTCCGTCTTTGAGACAACAATAAATTTTACACCAGAATATTCTTGAGACAAATGTGAGGCCAGCTGTCCAGCAGCTTATGCTGGGCCGAAACTGGGTCATGCAACAGGACAATGATCCAACGCACACCAGCAAATCAATGTCTGAATGGCTAAAGAGGAAAAAATTAAGGTTGGAATGGTCAAGTCAAAGTTCAGACCTGAACCCCATTAAGATGCTGTGCTGGGATCTTAAAAAATAAATGAATGTCCTATCATGGAAATCCCCAAGGTCTTGTCATGAAAATCCTGACAACAGAACAAATCACAAATTCTAAATAAGCAAGAGTCATTTATTTAGGAAATGAAAGTGATATAGACCAGAGAGTGAAAAGATGAAAGCGAGGAGATGAGAGCAAAGAGATGAGAGCGCATTCTAAAGCGGTCTCCCTTACATAGGGGTTTTATACCCCAAACTGGGTGTTGGCTGGGTACCAAATAAGGGGAGGTTTGACAGCTGCTGTTACCAGTCTTCAGCAGATTTCTTATAATATAGCCTTATAAGGTTGTAAGTACATGCAGCATCTTCTGATCATGCTGTACGTGCATGACTAGAGATGCCCTGATTAGAATATCTTATTAAAAGCAGAAGTATTAGGGAGGTGTAAGATAGATAACCGAGGTCAATCGCTATATTAGGATACATTCTGTTTTTGTATCTACGCAGCTATCAGTGAGAGGACAGGGTGTTTTGTCCGTTACCTTTTGCCCGTACATAGTCTTACACTCTGCAATAAAGCAAATGCATTGAATTAATACAATTTCCATAACATTTCCCCACTTTTCTCATGTAAATGATAACAGAATAGCGAATTAGTTCAAGATAGATATGAGTAGGAACTAAGAGTCAAGATGGCGCCGCAGACGGCGACACTGGTTGGGAGCTCTGTTGTGTTTTGTTTGTTTTTGTTTGTTTGTACTGTTATATGTGAACCAGTCTCACTCATATACAGTGCAGAAGATCTGCTGAACATCAGGCAGTCCATGCCACAAGGTATTTTTCCTGACTTTTCACTTTCTGACTGCTTTTTGTACATTTTGGTGAGCGGAGCGGCTGCCCTCTACAGCAGGCACAGGCGGACACGCAGACGCGGGAAGTGCGGCGGAGCGCTGGTTAAACTCCAACAGCGCGGACTTCGCACACCGCTCCCCAGCATTCACATGGCAAATCTTCGCTCCTTGCAGAATAAAGTGGACAAACTTTAACTTCTAAACAGAACCAACAAGGTCTTTTCTCTCTGTGCTGTGCTGTGCTTTACTAAGTTGACCCTGGACAGCGCACTCCAGCTCCACAGAGCGGACCACTCCACAGAGCTATCAGGCAAGAAGAAAGGTGGCGGAATCTGCTTTTACATCTACCAAGGCTGGTGTACAGATGTCAGTGTTAACGAAAACGTGCAGCCCTAACCTGGAAACACTTTTTATAAACTGCAAACCATTTTACAGTCCGAGGGAGTTTACGTCTGTTGTACTTGCAGGAATCTATATTCCACCCCAGGCGTGCGTGCACGGGGCGCTGCGCGCTCTTGCAGACCAGATCACCAGTGCAGAGCTCAAACACACAGACTCTGTTTTTATTATTTTAGGGGACTTCAACAGAGTGCAACTCAACAGCGAACTGCCTAAATACAGACAGCATGTTACCTACCCCACCAGGGAGAGTAATATTTTAGATCACTGCTACACTGTGTTAAAGGGAGCATATCGCTCTGTTCCCCGTGTTGCTCTGGGCCTCTCCGATCAGTCGCTAATCCACCTCCTTCCAACCTATAGACAGAAGCTCAAATGTGCCAAACCTGTAGTCAGCTCTGTGAAGTAGTGGACCAACAAGGCTAAAGAAAGGCTTCAGGACTGCATGGGATTAACAGATTGGAGTGTGTTTGAGGACGCTACAGGCAGCCTGGATGAATAGATGGATACTGTGACATCCTACATCAGTTTTTGTGAAGACACCTGTGTTCCCACCAGGACTCGCATTAAATATAACAATGACAAGCCCTGGTTTAATGCCAGACTGAAACAGTTGCGCCAGTCTAAAGAAGCAGCGTATAGGAGGAGGTCAGGCTCTGTACAATCATGCAAGGAACACACTCAACAAAGAAATCAGAGCTGCAAAAAAGAGCTATTCAAACAAGCTGAGTAGTATGATGTCCACAAATGAGCCATGTACCGTCTAGAAGTGCCTGCAGAACATCACCGGCTACAAAAAGACACCGTCCCAGACAGTGGGTGATCATCAGCTGGCTGATGAGCTTAACACCTTTTACTGCATGTTTGAAAAGCCCAGCTCCTCATACCCATTCAGCACAGATTCACGCCCTCCTGTCATTCAGCCATCTATCCAGCCTGTCCTGAAGATCTGTGAGAAGGACATGCATCAACTCTTCAGGAGAAAAAAAGTGAGGAAAGCACCAGGACCAGATGGAGAATCACCCTCCTGTCTGAGTGTCTGCACTGTCCAGCTCGCGCCAGTCTTTACAGCACTCTTTAATAAATCACTGGAGCTATGTGTCGTACCTTCCTGCTTCAAACACTCCACCATAATACCAGTTCCCAAGAAAGCACATTGATCTCTGTAGACATGAAATCCTTTGAGAGACTGGTGCTCTCCCATCTGAAGAACATCACAGATCCACTGCTAGACCCCCTGCATTTTGCATACTGAGCAAACAGGTCGGTGGACAACGCAGTGAACATGGGACTCCAGCTTATTCTCCAACCGCTTGAACACCCAACTACTCCAACTCAGCGTGCCTCACTTCCTCACTGGCAGAGAGCAGCAGGTGAAGTTGGGAAGGTTCACCTCAAACACCCAGAACATCAGCACAGGCGCTCCACAGCATTGTGTACTCTCACCATTGCTCTTCTCACTGTACATGAATGACTGTGCCTCCACGGACGCCTCAGTCAAAATCTTGAAATATGCAGATGACACCACAGTCATTGGTCTCATCCAAGATGGTGATGAGTCTGCTTACAGATGGGTGGTTGATCAGGTGGTCCTTTGGAGCAGCCACAATAACCTGGTGCTGAACACAGCAAAAACAGTGGAGATGACAGTGGACTTTAGGAGGAGCCCTCCAACCCTGCCAGCACTCACCATCCTGGACAGAACTGTGATGGCTGTGGAGTCCTGCAAGCTCCTGGGTACAACAATCACCAGGGACCTGAAGTGGGACAGCAACACCAGCTCCATCATCAAGAGAGCCCAGCAGAGGATGTACTTCCTGTGTCAGCTGAGGAAGTTCAACCTGCCCCAGGAGCTGATGGTGTGGTTCTACACAACCGTCATAGAGTCTGTCATCACCACGTCGATCACAGTGTGGGGCAGCTCAGCCACCAAGCATGACCTCCACAGACTGCAGCGCATCATCAGATCTGCAGAGAGGACAATTGGGGTTAAGTTGCCTACACTGCTGGAACTGCATGCCTCCAGAACCAGGAAGTGTGCAGAGAAGATCTCCACAGACCTCTTTCACCCTGGACACCACCTGTTCCAGCTCCTTCCCTCAGGCAGGCGCTTCAGCCAGATAAGGATCAGGACATCCAGGCTACAAAGGAGCATCTTCCCACAAGCTATCACTCTCTTAAACAGTTAAAATATGATCTTTTATCTCCACTTATCTGACTGTCAACTCATTGATCCCTTTCTCTGCCGCTGTACACCCTTTAACTGCTGCTGCACTCAGCACTTTAACTTTAGACCCATACTTTGCACATTGTAAGGTTTACAGGTATGGCTGTGTGTATGTATGAGTGAGTGATGGTAGAAATGCATGTTTTATTTTTATTTTATTTTATTTTGTTATATTTTATATTTGTTTTGGCAGCTGAGCAAAGAAGCTCGGATCCAGGAGGCACCCACGCCAACTGATCCAGTGACATATAGCAAGCAAGCAAGCAAAGTTTATTTATATAGCGCCTTTTACCACAGGTGTTGTCACAAAGCAGCTTTACAAAACAAAACAAAATCAGCATTACAAAAAGAAATCCAGGTCCAAACCCCCATGAGCAAGCCAGTGGCGACAATGGCAAGGAAAAACTCCCTAAGAGGATAGTAAACATTGTTACTACAAAAACGGGGAAAACAGGTGGAGCAAATTATTAATTTGATTAGTTTAGTTTATGCAGCAGCAGCATCAGTGGGGTCAAGATGTGAGGGTGAGGTTGCACGGCATTGTACAGCATGAAGCTAAATGGTGGTCAAGCCGGTCCAGAAGGCTGGTAGCAGTGGCACCCGATCAAGGCGGAAGAGGCAGCAGCATCAGACGCACAGGATGGGTAGCTGTTCAACTCGGCAAAGAGAAGAAAGAAAGGAAAAACACACAGAGAGTCAGTTCTGTAATTGGTGACTGATCACAGATTAAAGTGTTAACAGAGCAGCGGAGACTCTGGCAGGTATAGAACCGCCAGGGAAAACTAATTTCCAAAGGCTTGACTATACAAGTAAGTTTTTAGCCTAGACTTAAAGACTGAGGCTGTGTCTGAGTCCCAAACATTAACAGGAAGACTATTCCAAAGCTGGGAGGCTTTGTATAAGAAGGCTCTCCCCCCTGATGTAACTTTATTAATTGTAGGTACTAATAGTAAGCCAGCACCTTGTGATCTAAGTAGGCGTGATGGTTCATAATGGGAGAGAAGTTCACTCAGGTACTGAGGGGCGAGTCCGTTTACAGCTTTATAAGTCAGTAAGAGAATTTTATAATCAATGCGAAATTTAACTGGTAACCAGTGTAGGTTTGATAGAACTGGGCTGATATGGTCAAATTTTCTGGTTCTAGTAAGAACTCTGGCTGAAGCATTCTGGACTAGCTGAAGCTTGTTAAGGCTTTTACTCGGACATCCAGCCAGCAGGGCATTACAGTAATCTAGCCTTGAAGTAATAAATGCATGAACTAACTTTTCTTCATCCTGTAGAAATAATGCATTTCTCAATTTAGCAATATTGCGGAGATGCAGGAAGGCTGTTCTAGTAATATTAGTTATATGTGCGTCGAAGGACAGATCAGGTTCTATCATGACACCAAGATTTTTTACAGGTGAGCTTGATGCAACTGAGAAATTGTTAAGTTTAAGTGTAAAATTAGACAGTTTGTTTCTAGCTGCTTTTGGACCAAGAAGTAGAACCTCTGTTTTATCTGAGTTAAGAAGGAGAAAGTTACTCGACATCCAGTCTTTTACATCTTTTATACAGTCCTCAATCTTGCCAAGTTTAATTTTAGTGTCATCGGCATAACAGTGGAAATTTATGCCATGTTTACTGATAATGGTGCCCAGTGGTAGCATATATAGTGTGAATAATACAGGTCCTAAAACAGAGCCTTGTGGAACACCATACTTTACTTTTGTGAGGGCAGATGATTCACCGTTTATATTACCAAACTGATAGCGATCAGTGAGGTAGGACCTGAACCAGGAAAGAGCTATCCTGTTACTCCTACAAGGTTTTCTAGTCTATCAATTAAGATAGCATGGTCTGTGTCAAATGCCGCACTAAGATCAAGGAGGACTAACAGAGACACTTTTTCTTGGTCAGAGAATAATAATAGATCATTTACAATTTTCACTAGTGCTGTCTCTGTACTATGATGTGGCCTAAAACCAGATTGAAATTTTTCGTGTATAAATATAGGAGGCTGAGGATACTGACTCTGGTGCTCATCTGCAGTGACTAGTGTGCACCCATGTAGTCCTTCCTTCCACCTTCACCACTGATTGAATCGTCAGAAGGACTTGGAATGGTCCTTGCCACTGCGGCTTGTTCCACTTGTCTTGTCGGAATCCTTCACTACCACCCAGTCCCTTGCTGGATAGTAGGCACAATGTTGTCTCGTATCTATACCTAAAAATGTGCTCACCTGTTTCAGCGTTGTGCTTACAAAGGGTGTGCCATTGTCACTTGAGTTCAATGATATCCATTTGCAAATGTTCAAACGGGCCCTGAGGTACTGGGTGTGCTGCCTGTTCCACCTTCAAACCTAGCCCTATGTTGTGTTTGGCACAAATCATGCATCTATTACAAAAATTTTGTGATAATTTGAGAACCCTTTTGTGAACCAATGTTTCATTACTGCGGCTACCATACCCCCTTTTGACGCATGGTCCTTCCCATGTTTCAACTTAGCAAAGTAAGGAAACATGCATTTGGGTAGGCATGGGTGGGCCTCAGGGCACATCCATACGCCTTCCTTCTGAACACAACCTGCTTTCTTCCAAGCTGCCCGTTCCTCTGCGGTAGAACGTTTTTGCAGCTTGGTGACCTGCAAAGAAGGAGTTTGTGGAAAAACATCAGAACATATCTTGGGTCTGAGCAGCTTGTTTTGCTGCTGCATCGGCTCTTGCGTTTCCTAGGGAAACAGGGTCTGTTTTACATGTGTGTGCATCACATTTGCAACGATTTGTTTTGTAAGTTGGATAGTGTCCAGGAGAGCTGAAACAAGGTGGTGGTGTGCAATATGTGTGCCTGAGCTTGTCAGAAAGTTTCTCTGACTCACTTTCTGGGACAGACTTGCATATTTGCAAGTGCCTTAAATTCTGCTGCTTGTGCAGATAAGTGGCTCGGTAGGGCACCTGACAACTGTTTCGTGACCTGTTACTACCGCAAACCCTACTTTATTTTTGCCTGTTTTGGGGTCTCTTGATGCTGATCCAGCTAAATACAGGACAAGATCTGGATTATGTAGGGGGACATCCTAAAGGTCCAACCTAGGGGTACAAAGGTTACTGGTTAGTGTCACACAGTCATGTAGCTCTCCGTCCTGTTCTGTGGGCAGGAGAGAGGCTGGGTTAAGAGTTGTACATCTCTTAATTGTGATGTTTGACATATCAAGCAACACAGTATTGTACCTTAACCACCTCTGTGGGGACAGATGTGACGATCTCTATTCCGTGAGAAGCATGGAGACCACATGTGGCACTAGCGAAGTAAGATCTGAATATCCTAGCAAGTCTCGTGAGGCGGTGACCGCCTTTCCTGTGGCTACTACCACCTTGAGACACAGAGGTCTCAGGGTGGTAGCAGCCAGTCTCTTCCTCTAGTCTCTTCCACAAAAACATCTACTTGTATGTTAGATCCGATTCCTACAGGTTTACTCAAGGAAATTTTGCCAGAAATAACCAAGCCTTTTCTGTCAATAATAAACTCTTCTCTTAGCCTTGGGTACATCCCAAAATCTCTTAAACTAGCAGTAATTAGACCACTGATTAAGAAAGCGAACCTCGATCCATGCGAACTATCAAATTATAGACCCATCTCGAATCTCCCCTTTATATCAAAGATCTTGGAAAAAGTTGTAGCAAAACAATTAAGCTCCTTTTTGCATAGGAATCAAATACACTAAAAATTTCAATCTGGTTTTAGGCCACATCATAGTACAGAAACAGCACTAGTAAAAATTGTAAATGATCTATTATTATTTTCTGACCAAGATCATGTGTCCTTGTTAGTCCTCCTCGATCTTAGTGCAGCATTTGACACAATAGACCACACTATCTTACTAGACAGACTAGAAAACCTTGTAGGGGTAACAGGAATAGCTCTTTTCTGGTTCAGGTCCTACCTCACTGATCGCTATCAGTTTGGTAATATACACAGTGAATCATCTGTTCTCACAAAAGTAAAGTATGGTGTTCCACGAGGCTCTGTTTTAGGATTATTCACATTATATATGCTACCACTAGGCACCGTTATCAGTAAACACGGCATAAACTTCCACTGCTATGCCGATGACATATATATTGTCACATATATTTATATTTAGCAAGCGACCCAGATGATAGAATTAAACTTAGCAAGATTGAAGACTGTATAAAAGACATAAAGGACTGGATGTCGAGTAACTTTCTCCTTCTAAACTCAGATAAAACAGAGGTTCTGCTTCTTGGTCCAAAAGCAGCTAGAAACAAACTATCTGATTTAACATTTGAACTTAACAATTTCTCAGTTGCATCAAGCTCATCTGTAAAATGCCTTGGTGTCATTATAGACCCTGATCTGTTCTTCGACGCACATATAACTAATATTACTAGAACAGCCTTCCTGTATCTCCGCAATATTGCTAAATTGAGAAATGCATTATCTCTACAGGATGAAGAAAAGTTAGTTCATGCATTTATTACTTCAAGCCTAGACTACTGTAATGCCCTGCTGGCTGGATGTCCGAGTAAAAACCTTAACAAGCTTCAGTTGGTCCAGAACACTGCAGCCAGAGTCCTTACAAGAACCAGAAAGTTCAACCATATCAGCCCAGTTTTATCAACCTTACACTGGTTGCCAGTTAAATTTCGCATTGATTATAAAATTCTCTTACTGACTTATAAAGCTCTAAACGGACTCGCCCCTCAGTACCTGAGTGAACTTCTCTCCCACTATGAACCATCACGCCTACTTAGATCACAAGGTGCTGGCTTACTATTAGTACCCAGAATTAATAAAGTTACGTCAGGGGGAAGAGCTTTCTCATACAAAGCCCCCCAGCTTTGGAATAGTCTTCCTGTTAATGTTCGGGACTCAGACACAGCCTCAGTCTTTAAGTCTAGGCTAAAAACTTACTTGTATAGTCAAGCCTTTGGAAATTAGTTTTCCCTGGCGGTTCTATACCTGCCATAGTCTCTGCTAACACTGTAATTTGTGATCGGTCACCCATTTCAGAACTGACTCTCTGTGTGTTTTCCTCTCGTGTGTTTTCCTTTCTTCTCTTCTCCGAGTTGAACAAGCTGCCCATCCTGTGCGTTCTGATGCTGCTGCCTTTTCTGCCTTGATCGGGTGCCACTGCTCGCCAGCCCTCTGGACGGGCTTACCAACCTTGAGCCTCCTGCTGTACAACGCCGTGCAAACCTCACCCTCACAACCTGACCCCACTGATACTACTGCTGTTGCTACATGAACTAATCAAAATTATTCACTTGAACCAATCATTTAAACTAATTCAAATTAATCAATCACCCATTGCAGAACTGACTCTGTGTGTTTTTCATTTCTTTCCTTTGCCGAGTTGAACAGCTGCACATCCTGTGCGTCTGATGCTGCTGCCTCTTCTGCCTTGATCGGGTGCCACTGCTCGCCATGCAAACCTCACCCCCACAACCTGACCCCACTGATGCTGCTGCTGCTGCTGCTGCTGCATGAACTAAACTATTCAAATTAATTGTTTGCTCCACCTCTTACCCTGTTTTTGTACTATAATACTTTATACTAAAAATGTTTACTATCCGGTGTCGATCAGAGGAGGATGGGTTCCCCTTCTGAGTCTTGGTTCCTCTCAAGGTTTCTTCTTGTTTCTCTTGGGGAGTTTTTCCTTGCCACTGTCGCCACTGGCTTGCTCATGGGGGCTTGGACCCGGATTTCTTTTCTTTTTGTAATGCTCATTTCCTTGTAAAGCTGCTTTGTGACAACACCTGTTGTAAAAAGCGCTATATAAATAAACTTTACTTACTACTTACTTACTTACAGAGGCAGGCCTGCTGCTACTGGGTCTAATTTGCTAGAGAAATACCCCACTAGTCTCAGTCTGTCCCCATGTGTCTGCAACAGCACAGAGAGCATACATCCATTTTTCTCATCCACAGTTTGTACAAACGGCTTAGATAGGTTGGGTAGACCCAAAGTGGGGGTGGTTTGTAAGGCCTTTTTCATGTTCTCAAATGCTTTATCAGCTTCTGCGGTCCATTGGACCTTTGAGGAAGCTGTTTGGGGCATGCGCAATCTCTCTAATTGGTGCCTCTAGGAAGGAGTAGGTTGGAATGAATGTCATACAATAGCACATGCCAAAAATGAGAGTACCTGTTTCTTGGTACAAGGTTTTGGAATTTTTGAATGGCAGAAACTCTGTCCATAGACAGTTTCTTCCCTTCTGCTGAGATGTCATATCCTAGGAACCTGACTGATCTTTGAGTGAGCTGCAGTTTAGAAAGGATAGCTTTGTGGCCCTCTTTAGCGAGGTGTTGCAACAATGCCACAGTGTCTTGCTTGCACTGTTCTCTAGTTGGCGCACAGATCATCAAATCATCTACGTACTGTAAAGGGCGGTTCTTGGCATTAAGGATAGTGAGTCCAGGCTGTGTTTGAGTGCTTGATTATAAATCGTGGGGCTTTCGCAATATTCTTGGCACAGCAGAGTAAATGTATATGGTTTTCCGTTGGACATGAAGGCAATCCAGAATTGGCTATCTCTGTGGAGGGGAACACTGAAAAATATGTTGGCCAGATCGACTACCAAAAACCATTGGCTATCCACAGGAACTTGACTCAGAATTGTGTATAGATTTGGTATATTTGAGGCCCTTTGCACCATGGCCAAATTTACTGCCTGCAGGTCTTGTACAAACCTCCATTCTATGGAGTGTAATTATAGGGTGTACTTATTTTTTCCCACCTGGTTTTTGAAAATTGATTTTGGAAAAAAATGACTACATATTGAAATCTGTCGTGTTTTTTTGTTGTCACTTGAGGTTATTTTTTTGTTTGTAGAAGTTGATGAGCACCCCACTTTTGTTATTTAGACCCTGAAAAATCAAAAAACATATAACTGAAGAAGGATGTAGTTTTTTCCATGACTGTAATGAGTATTAATGTTTAATTATTTGGTCTGGTCTGGTTATTACGAGAGTGCAGATTTATTTTACCAGCTGCATAGACAACATTTGTTTGAATAAATATTAATGGATTCTTTTGTAGGAGACATACTGGGCCGTGCCTTAAAGAATATTGATGGACTGCTGAAGATGCCATATGGCTGTGGGGAACAAAACATTGCTATTCTTTCCCCCAACATCTACATTCTTCAGTACCTCGAGAACACTGGACAGCTCACTGCAGCCATTCGTGAGAGAGCTATTGGTTTCCTTAAGAGTGGTGAGAGAATTTGTCATTATGAAGCTTTTTTTTAATAGCCACACCAGGCCTACTGAGTAGACTCTTGCTGGGCTGGATAAAATGAATTTATTGATTAATTGATTAAGAATAATTTGCCTTTACACAGGATATCAGAGGCAACTGAACTACAAGCATTATAATGGTGCATACAGCACATTTGGCAGCGGAGAGGGGAATACATGGTAATAACTGATTACATGGTAAAAAATGATTTCACAAATAGCCACTAAGTACAATGCTACTGGACATCCTGGACATTCTGACTAGATAGCAAAACTTTCACTTAACAATTTTCAGTTGCTATATTTCTCCACCACCAGGTTAACTGCTTTTGTACTGAGGACTTTTGGCAAAGCACAGCGTTACATCTTTATTGATCCACGAAACATTGACAGTGCAAAGCAATGGCTGATAAGTAATCAGACACCAGATGGCTGTTTTATAAGACAAGGACGACTGTTCAACAATAGAATGAAGGTGTGTTATTAGATGGTACATAAACTACAAAAGTATGTGGACACCTCTCCTAATTATTGAGTTACGGTGGTTTAGCCATACCCTTTGTTAAATCAAGCACATAGCCATGTAATCAGCATAGACGAACAGCAGAATGTGTTGTACTGAAGTGAGGAATAACTGAGCATTGCTCTGTCACAGGATACCACCTCTGCCATGTGTCAGTTTATGAAGTTTCTGCTCTGCTAGATCTACAAGTGCTGTAAGTGCTATTACTGTGAAATAGAAGCATCCAGGAGTAACAACAGCTCAGCCACAATGCAGTAGACCATGCAAGCTCACAGAGAGGGGTGAAGTGTGCTGAAGCATATAGCATGTAAAAACCACCTCTGTTGTTTCACTCACTACTAGTTCCAAACTGCTTCTGAAAGTAACAAGAACTTCATGTCAGGAGCTTCACGAAATTGGTTTCGGCTGAGTAGCTGCACAGAAACCTAAGATAACAATCCAAAGTGCCAAGCATCGACTGGAGTGGTGTAAAACGTGATGCTACTGGACTCTGGAGCACTGGAAACGTTGTCTGGAATGATGTATCACACTTCAGTATCTGGCAGTCAGAAAATTTGGGACTGACCAGAACACTGATTGTGTTCTCACCCAACATCAGTGCCTGATCTCACTAATACTCTTTTTACTGAATGGGCATAAATTCCCACAGACACACTCCAAAATCTTGTGGAAAGCCTTCCTAGAAGATCGGAAGATGTTACATTAATCGCCCATGGTTTTGGTAAGGGGTGTCGGAAAGGTCACACAGGTGTAATGGTGAGGTGTTCACATACTTTAGGTTGTACAGTGTATCTGAAGTCTACACAATACATTTCTGAGAAAATTTGTTATTATTTTGAGTAACAGTCCAATGTATTGTAGGGTGGTGTAAATGATGATGTGACCATAACAGCTTACATCACTGCATCATTGCTTGAACTGGGCCATACGTCCAAGGTAAGGACACTAACCAACCTGTGCAAACTTTAAAACCTTATATCAACATGTACCTTAATATATTGAGGTAGTCTTAGCAAAAATCATCCAGTCCTAACTACTGGAACTATTAGCATGTTCAGTGTTGTGTTCTTTACTATCTCTTGATCTTGAGCAAGCGGATCCAATAAAACAGAACCATCCCCTGGGCCCACGGCACAAATTTGGTGTTGGCAGTGTGAGCACCTTTGAAAAGAACAGCAGCAGCAAGAGCTGGTGGGAGGGCAGGAGAACAAAGCTGCCATCTGGGTAGGGGCTTATACACCAGCAAGGCAGGAGAATCGGAGGCTACCGAGCATTCTCAGCGCACAGAGGCTAGTGTGTCCTCCTCGGAGCAGGGACTGGAGGGCTCTGCCAGCTCTGCCTGACCATCTGACAGATCACCACCTGCTGCTCCTTAAGTTGTTTCCATCACTTTTCAGCATCACGAAAAGCAGCCTGCAGTTCCTGCCAGCCGGCCAGGTGCAGGTGGATGAGGGTCTGATGGCCTCTTCTTCTGCCATGGAGACTCCCTTGGTGTGTCTGCGCCCAATTCCTGGGTTTTGGCACCACTGTAGCACACTATGTTACCCTGGTCTAAGGAAGACTGCTGGAGGCAGGAGAAACATCTTCAGCAGCCATACTCTTCACTCACAAAACACAAACAAACACTGCTCTTTTCAAAGGCGCTCACACAATCAATGGTAGATCACCATCAGCCGGCTCTCATTAAGGCTGAGAGGGACAGAGCTCATTGCTCCACCTCCCCAGCTCAGCCACCTGGATCAAACTGCTGCAGAAGAGGAGGCAGGGCTCTGGGCATGCCATTCACCACTCCTTTGCAGTTCTCCTTGTCCTTGTCTCTGCCTTCCTTATAGCTATCGCGGCACAGGCACACAGCACAACTTGGTCCCAGTTTCTGTCCTAATAGATCTGTCTTATTGGACCCATTTGCTCATTGACTCCTGTCACAAAGCTGGATTTAAATAAAATGAATTTGCACATGCATCCTGTCTCCACACCAGCTTCTGTAGAATGCTTTGTCACCCAGTGCCCTAACCAGCTCTCACTCATCCTTGGTAGCTGACGATGCAGTTATCCTCAGCGCTGAGGACTCTGCTCTGCTCATGGTCCAACTTGCCTCAGTGCGCTCAGCTACCATGGATGCCATTTCTTCTTACAATCGAGAGAATGCTGCAGATGCTGAAGTTTTGGATGCTGCATTCATAGAGAAGATGCAGGAGCTGCTGTTCTAGTTTTAGCAGCTAAAGGTGTCACCTCCTTAGTCTCCCCACCTGCTGTAGTTCCTCATAGCTCATAGCTGAAGACGCCATTATTCCAATTTCCCTGTGGCCAAAAACAGTGCTGGAGCTTTACCTGGTACAACAATGTGGCATGGTTTGCATTTACTCAGAAAAGTCCCTCTGCAGGCCTATCCTGCTCTGCCAGCTTCCATTCTCCTCTCATTGTTTGTCTATATTCTCTGACAAAAAGAAAGACCCATGGCGGCTCGGGTGCAGTCCATCCTGGTGGTAGAATGCCAGTCACTCCCAGAAAGCACTCTAGTTGCCCACGTAGCCGACATTGTTATTCTTACACCAGCCTTGGAGCCAGCAGTGCAGCACGTAGAGCCTCTGTGACTTGTAAAAGACAGTCCATATCATGACAAAGGGCAGGACTGTTTTTTCTACTCATCTCCAAAGCCACAAATATATTTCAAAAAATGTCTACTTTGGTTTGGTTTGGTTTACAGATACCTGTTTTTCTCCGTTAGCAAGTCATTTAACTTTTATTACATTCATTATTGGTAATATAAGCTAGTCTGACTGAATAATAAGCAGTGACTTCACATGAGTCTGAACAGCCGATGCTGATTGTGAACAGAGTTTGGGGGACAACATCCAAACAATTACATTTTCTTCTACACTTTTTGGGATTTTTTTGTTGTAGGATCCTGTTGTGAGTAAAGGATTATCATGTTTAAAGTCTTCTATTGGCAACCTAACAAACACCTACGCCGCTGCACTGCTGGCCTACACTTTCAGTCTCGCTAGTGAGAACGATATTTGTACGCAGCTGCTGAAGAAGTTGGATAATGTTGCCATTTCAGCAGGTATGAAACTTTTAAGCGCAAATGTTAAGCCATGTTGTGCTGTATTATTGTCTGTAGGTTCATCTCTTAGTATTTCAACATTAGGTAAAGTTTCTTCTTTTCTACAGATGGTCACCTTCACTGGTCTCAGTCTGCATCAGATGACTTTGACTCATTGTCAGTGGAGATCAGCTCCTATGTTCTGCTAGCTGTTCTCACTACAGCTGAAGTCACTGCTGCTGATTTAGGCTATGCTAACAGGATTGTTAGCTGGCTGGTGAGGCAGCAAAATCCCTATGGAGGCTTCTCTTCCACCCAGGTACTCAGACTATATTCTTAATCTCATAAACAAACAGAAATTAATAATGTCATTCCTAATGATTTTATGTTTGGATCAGGACACAGTGGTGGCCCTCCAGGCTCTGGCTCTATACTCCACCAAAGTGTTCAGCTCTGATGGCTCCAGCACAGTAACTGTGCAGTCAGAAGACAAAGAGAGTCACCACTTTGATGTGAACCAGAACAACAAGCTATTGTACCAAGAGAGACCACTACATGTTCCTGGCAAATACAGCATTTTGGTGAAGGGCTCTACCTGTGTTACTGTACAGGTCAGTGTGTCTAGCTCTTCCTGGCATTGCATTCATGCAGTTTGCATAAAGTTTTTCAAAGCACTTCTCTAAACATTTTATGAGTAGTATATATGTTAAGAATGCTACTGTGGTTAGGGATGCCTGCAAAAGAAACTGCGAATCTCAGTGGATATTTTATACAAACATAGTCACACAGTGGCAAGACATGAAAGCCAGTAACACAAATACTCAAGTCACATCAATAACATTGTCCAAAATGTTCTTGCAGATTCCAAAGCAGTGAAAACTCTGACAGTCTTCTGGAATTCATAGTACCACAGTTATATTCATAACTAGTGTCCTTTAGCTGAGGTAGGACCAGGTAGCTTTGCCAAAGGATGCTACACTGACTCTGGAGAGCCAGGTGTAGCAGTTCCCTTTTGTTTAGAACTGCATTTTTAAAATAGGTGTCACACATCGAGGTATTGCTTCTTCTTCTGAGCTACTGAGTGTTTTTCGTGTATTGCCTTTTTTGTATTGGACTGTATTTTCTGGATTTTGACTCTGCACTTTTTGACCTTGCTTGCTGGCTTTGTTATGTTTGTCTTTTTGTATTTTTGTTTTGTTTTGGATCTGACCCATGCCTGTTTCCTGACAACAAGTTTGGACAACGCTTTAGCCTCTTTTTCAATTCTATCCATGAGCATTCGGTCAGTTCTGTCGTGTTACAATAGGCTAGAAGTGCAGGGACTGTTTGAAAACATACTATCAGCAGGATGCTGGCATGTGCTAGTGTTCCAGTCTCCTTAATATTACTTGGGCGACCCCCAGAGTGTCCATGCAGGTATCCTCTGACAGCAGTGCTGAGGTAACATCTTAGAAGACCCTCTGGTCAGTATGGTAGTTGTTGATGGTTAGACTTTTTGTGATAGGTAGACATGCTGATAAATCTTTTACCCAGTGTCTCATCATTTCATAGTTTTTAGCGGACCTTTGTGTGATACTGGGTTTTTTGCGGATTGAGTTCTGTCAAAATCGTTAGTGTAGGGTTTTAATGGTGCTAGCAGTGGACGGATAAGCTAGCAGTCAGTTTGTTAGCAAGAGTATTATTCTAGAGAAAGCAGCGATAGCAGTACAAGCTAGTATTCAGTCTGTGAGCAGGAGTGTTTGGTTTCCTAGACAACAATAGCAACTGAAACTAGTGATTGTGGGGCTAGCAAGTGAAAATGTAGCTTAGAAAGTATAACCTCTCATTAAAATGTAGTCCTGTTTAAATTATATGCAAGCTAATGCATCTCTGCAAGTCCTAGGATTAGTTGCAGAAAATTTGTTTGAAAATAGCCAGTACTTTAATGCTGGTCTTCAGAAATGCTAACCTTTATGCAGGCCTCCATGTAGATGCTTGTTATACACATAGCAGGTTTAGGAGACACTTTGTCTGTTTACTTGCTGTTTCACTGGTTTGATCTCTTTTATCCCCACCTGCAGATGGTGCTTTTCTACAATATCCCCCCACCTGCTGAAACCAGTACATTACACATCAAGGCTAAAACTGAAGGAGATTGTACAAAATCATTTGGACAAACTCTGGCCATCAACTTCACAGTCACGTACGCATGTATTTTGATAAAAATGTCATCTGATATGAGGGAACTATAGACTGATGACTTTAGATAATAAGGAGACATTTGTTTGCAGTTGTTCTGATTTTTTTTCAAAGGAAATTACTGCTTTTAATTATTTTCAAACACACAAACATGATTTTGAAATCATAGTACCACAGGTTACTGAACATTTACAGCTGAATTAAACTTTACAACATGTCTGAAACTTCCGCATTAAAGCTACCTTCAATATGGAAAAAACACTGTACATTTGATGTCAGTGTAAATTCTGTGATTAATGACCAGTCTTCTTTAATTTGTTCTTCAGATATAATGGGGCTCTAAACAGTACTAACATGGTGATAGTGGATATAAAGATCTTGTCAGGATTCACAGCAGATCCAAATGATGTAAGTAGTAGTGTTTATTGTAACAAACACATATGCACACACAGACCTCACCCTCATGTTAACCTCAGTGACAATAATAAATGTTTTTGCTCTTTCATTTTATAAAAAATGAACTTGCAGCTTTGGTAAAAAAATAAAAAAAGGTTCCAAACTCAGGACTATTTCATTTGTCCTCACCCTGCAGTTCAGACCAACCAGTTCTTTGTAAGTATTTATTAAATTGCAGAGAAGTAATTATTTTGTTTCCTCAGCTAAAAAACAGCCCACTTGTGGAGCGAGTCGATTCCAAAGATGACCATGTACTCATGTATATGGAAGAGGTGAGAGAAAATCACAGCTTACTATCTTTATGTTACACGTACAGTACTGTGAAGATGTCACAGAAATATTCAGTCATATACGTAATCAGTCCTTCATTTGACATAAACATGTGCTGCTGTACTGTAAAAAGTGAAACTTGAATTGATTTAAAATGTTGATTTTGTTTATCTAAACTAAAATGTAGATGAACAAATTTAAAATATTGATTTAAATAAAAACAATTATATTGCTTTCCACCACATGATGTACTTTTTATTTTAGGTTAATCTAATAAACCTTTTGAACAGTGCATGAAATAGCTAGAGTGCACAATGAAGTCAGGAACAAACCCTGTGTTGTTATATCAGAATTGTTCTAACCAAGATGACCATCAATATAGTGGTTATTTGTATTTATTGCATTTATTCTATAGAATTTTAACTGGCAAAATATTTTGCACAGTACTGATACAAAAACCACAGCCACTACATGTCACCAGAACAACTTCAGTGTGCCAGTCACTGGAAATTCTATTCTTCTAAAATATAATTAATAGATCTTGCTAATACCAGCCTGACTCTGAATAAAATAACCAACTGCTTTTTTACAGTTCACTGCTGGTAACCAGACATGTCATGGAATATAACCAGTTCTGTTTCTGTTTTTGTAGAGCTACCTAATTTATTTAAGTTTTCCCATTTTCAGTAGACAGACAGTGTAATTAACTGTACAAACTCTGATGATCCTCCTGTGGTTGACAGAGAATATTCTGCCTGTCTTTGTACCCTCTATTTATTAACTGATTAACTAATCTCATCTCTAACCAAAGGTATGCATTGTTATTTATATTTTTATGGCCTCTGGTTAAATTACTAGTTTGTGATTTTCTAAATTGTTAATGTTAACAGATTAATGTTCTTCTATATTATTTCTGCAGAACCTTTTCCAAATAAGTTTTAATATGACATTTATATAATACAATATGTATTATATACTTAAGTAGAATGTGTCTCCTGTGGTTGTGGTCAGTAGTGGTTTGTGTAGTCAAGAATGAGTTCTGGCAGAGCACATCTGCTAACATTATTAATTAGTGCACATTGCAAAGCAACACTATTGTTATTTGATTCTTTTTCTTCTTTTTCTTCTTCTTTTTCTTCTACTTCGTCTTTTTCTTCTTCTGCCGGATTTTTGTCCACTAATTCATCCTGCAGTTTTCGAGATATTGACACTGATTCAACTCCAGAATGTTTGGTCTGATTGGGAATGGGGTGCTTGTGTACACTATTTCTGCTCGACCAAAATAATCTGTTCCGCATATGCTATGTCAGTGCAGACCCCTAAGCATGAATTCAATGTTGTTCTCACCTGCACTTATCTGTTTGTCCGTTTTTTTTCCCATTCTGTCTTGCTCCCTTAGAGTCCCATCGACTTTTCACCCACACCCCAGCCCTTTTATTTCCTTTACACGACAGCCACGGAACTGCATGTACTCACTCACGGCAGCTCGCCAAACTCTAATGCACAGCCATACTGACCCGCAGTCCTCTGTGTGTCGTTTTTTCATCCCTTCCTCCTCTTGTACACTCCCATTCATTTCCAACACCACACAGCTACCACTCGGCAACTCCCTACAAACGACTTAAACACCTCATACACCATGTCAACTGCCTAGCAACAATTTAGCAACTGCATGGGATACCATACCAAATGCCTAGCAACCACATAGCAACACCTCAGCAACCACCTGGAATTCTACTGCAACTATACATATCAACACCATAGCAATCATATAAAATACCATAGTAACCGCCTGGCAACATCTTAGCAACCGTAAATGGCTTCAACTTTGCAATCATTATTTTGGCGATAGAATATCTATAGATGTTCTGGTCCATAAATTTTCATCTTTTTCCAGACTTTCCAAACCCAGCAAGAACCCTGCAATTTACATGCATGTCAGCTTGAGGTACAGATTTGAAAAAATCATAAACAAACAAAGTAATAATTGACTGTTCATAAAAATATTTGCTAGAGGCCAAAAATACACTCCTTTGGTTACAGGTGATATTTTAGGACAAATATATACCTCAGATGTGCTTGTTTGAAATTAAAAAAATGCAGAGGACACAAACGATGGCAGCATAATCTCCCTCCAGAGCATAACAGAGCCACCAGCCCCCCTCACTGTAGAGGTCAGGCATTCGGGGCTGTACCACCTTCTTGGAGTATGCACTCTCCTGCTTGTGATGAACATGATGATGGGTGATTAATCTCACCAGATCATTTTTTCCACACTTATGTAGAGCAGAGCATGTGGTTTTTTTCACCACAGAACCACAATTTCCAACCTCATTTACTGATATATTTCCCTTAGATGTAAATGTCACTGTTCCTATTGAAACACTAGCCAGTTGAGCAGTAAGTTTCAAAGTCACATCTTTTCTTTTTGCCATCTTTATCCAAAATTGATGTCAACTGGGCCTGCTCAGTATCTTAATACATGCCACAGAGCATGGGTTTTGATAAAAAAAAACCTTAAAAGGCTAATGCACATCTTCATATTTGGAAGTGTGAACCAATTTGCACATCAACCTACAAATGGGACAACTGCTAAAATACTACAGTATTGAGTGAACCAGTCTGCTTACTACTCATCTTTGGAAAAGAAAACACCATTCTTATCTGCAGGAGCATGTGTGCCAGTGTTTCTTCTGACCAGTAGCTCTCCTTTAAAGGCCTCTTGAGGGCAGGGTCAGTTGAAGAGAGGGCTCACAGAAATATCTGATTGTGTATGTGTCCTGCCTTCAAATTCACTTGGTTCTAAATATACCAAGTGATTATATAATTACTGTCTGTTAGATAATGAAGGAGGTGTTGCTATTCAGGAGTTAACAATGATCAGGAACAATATAAAATGAAACAATGGTAACTCGTTATTAATGAACTAGGAGTTAATGAAGATCAGGAACAGTGTTATACAGTGAAAAACATGGTAACTCATCATTAACGAACTAGGAGTTAATGATGATCAGGACAGTATTATAAAGTGAAACTCATGGTAACTCATCATTAATGAACTAGGAGTAAATGATGATCAGGTACAGTATTATAAAATGCAATACATTAGAAATAAAAACCCCTACAGAAACGATGTACTGTAGTACAAAAAATATTAATAAAAAAAATTTGAAAAAAGTAAGAGTAAACAAGTTGTTTATAGAGTCCTTTTTTATTTGTGAACAGTCCAAATGTGAAAACATTCCTGAGTTAGCTAGCTATATGATTGAAAATAATACAAGCAAACAAAATTAAATCAAAATTTGTCATTACTACTGAAGGAGAAAGTCTGAGAGCTGAGAATAATTACAGTATGTTCTAATAGTACAGTAATTACACATCTTTCTGTTTCATATCTGAGGCATAAACTTTTACTGCCTATTAGCTTAGCTCATGTTAGCTAAATTAACTAGCTAGCTAGTATGCACTCATAACAGAACATAAGCTGCAGCTTTAGGTTTAATAAAGCACTAACATGTGCTTATAATTATGAACCAACATGGTAAAAGACATTGTTCCAGAGGACCATACCTACTTAGCTCAGATTAGTTAGTGAGTCAGCCAACTGTATCTCTACATTTGTGCTGACTCTGTTGTGCTAGTTCGCTTTTAACAGAAATGTCAATTCTGTTGAGCATCTGTGAGGTTTCTCAGTGGATTAGTTTGATAATCTTTTTATTTTTTAAATTCTGAAAAATCTTTTCAGTCTCAATCTTGTCTTGGTCTCACCACTCCATTTTTTAGTAGAAATATAAATATAAAGAGAATCTGACATCTAAAATAATAAACATTTTAGAGTTCTATTGAATTAAATAAACTTACATTAAACAGTAGATTTGCCCAGGACTCTTACTATGATAGCTTTGGTGTTTCTGTTGAGCATCTGTGAGCATTCTCAGTGGATTAGTTTGATAATTCTGTTCATATTTTAATTGTGACTTGCGGTATCTCCTGATGTATGATAAGTGAATCAGACTCATGACAGACCCCCGGGCCACTAATGTGAGACTTTTGATTCAGACTTCAGAATTCGGTCTTCATATACGAGGTCAATTTTACCATGTTGGTTCATAATTATAAGCACCTGTCAGTGCTTTATTAAACCTAAAGCTGCTGCTTATGTTCTGTTATGAGTACGTGCTAGCTAGCTAGTTAATTTAGCTAACATGAGCTAAGCTAATAGGCAGTAAAAGGTTGTGCCTCAGATATGAAACAGAAAGATGTGTAATTACTGTACTATCAGAACATGCTGTGATCAGTCTCAGCTCTCAGACTTTCTCCTTCAGTAGGAATGACAGAATCTGATTTAAATTTGTTTGCTTGTATTATTTTCAATGATAGCTAACTCAGGAATGTTTTCATATTTAGACTGTTCACAAATAAAAAGAAATACTCAAACAACTTGTTTACTCTTACTTTTTTCAAATTTTTTTGTACTGCAGCACATCATTTCTTTAAGTGTTTTTATTTATAATGTATTTCACTTTATATTACTGGTCCTCATTATTATTAACTGCTAGTCCATTAGTAATGAGTTACTATGGGTTTCACTTTATAATACTGTTCCAGAACATGATTCACTCCTAATTCATTAATGATGAGTTACCATGTATTTCACTTTATAATATTGTTCCTAATCATCATCACCTAGTTCATTAGTAACGAGTTACCATATGATTTACTTTATAACACTGTTCCAGATCTTCATTAACTCCTAATTCATTAATGATGAGTTACCATGTGTTTCAGTCTATACTATTCTTGCTCATTATTAACTCCTAGTTCATTAGAATAGTTCATAAAGAATGGTGTATTCTAAAGATTAGAAGTAAGCAGACTGGTCTACTGAATACTGTAGTATTTTAGCGGTTGTCCTTTTTGCAGGCTGATGTACAAATTGGTTCACACTGTCAAATATGAAGATGTGCATTAGCCTTTTAAGGTTTTTGATCAAAACAAACACATGAGGGACACCAGTCAGGGCAGTGTGGTGTGATGCCCCCAGCCTTCTCTGAGGATATTATATTATTATATTGTAGAGACTGCACCATGTGTAGTGTATTTTACTACTGTTAGAAGTGTTGGAATGCACTACATCAGTTAGTAGTTCAGCAGGAACCTTGTCAGAGTCAGCTATGGAGCAATTAATGTTGAATTGATCGATAATTTATTCAAAGAAACCATAGTTACTAAGTAATTCTCTATGAGACTCAGTAGTTATTTTTTAGTTAATAGTGAACTACACTAATCATTAGTTCACTATTACCTACTGAGTAGTTAACTTGTAGTCCTTGGTAGTTAAGAGTAGTTACTTAAGTGTTAATGCAGCACTACTCATTCGTTCCTTCTTAGTTCCTGAGTAGTTACTTATTAACTACAAAACAGTATTGTACAGTGTTACCAACATATTTTCCTTTAATGTAAGTCATTGGAACCAGACATTTTTACAAGTAATTCTGGGCAATTTCTCTTGATCCATCCGTCTTGAAATTTACACATAATATTAAGGACAGTAGGTATTTTCAAATTATGTCAAAAACTGAAAAACAACAAAAATGGAGATGCAAGGTTTTGCTCTGACAGTAGCGATGTATTCAGTCTTTCCTTTAATGTGTCATCTGTCTGTATATATGACACATGAACATGATCACTGCCGAGAATGGTAAATTGAAAGTTCTTGTGAAACAAAAAGAGTCTGAATTCTACAGCAAACTGAACATGTACCATGGAGCATTTAAAACAGTACAATGGCTCATTTGTTTCAACAGGTACCAAGGGATATTCCTATAAATTATCAGCTACATCTTAAACAGGTGCTTTCAGTCAAAAACCTCAAACCAGCTGTGATCAAAGTTTATGATTACTACCAAACAAGTAAGACTTTCCTAGGCTTTATACTTCACTATTTAGGTAATTGTATTGCTTTTATTTACTGAATTTCAATACCTCTTTTATTCAGGTGACCAGTCTGAGACAGAGTACTCCTCCCCCTGTGTGTGAGCACTCAGACCTGCAGCCTCACAGTATGAGACACAGAAAACACTGACACTGTCTGTATATCGGTTTTACTTTCTGTTCTCAAGAGATAACGGAATATAACTATTTTTGCTCAATAAATATGGATGTCAAGCAACTCATGTGCTGCTTCGTTGTTGTAACCAGTGAAATAAAAGGACAAAATTAAGATCCAAAAAACGGTTTAATACAAACTCTATGCCAAAAACCACAGAAAACAATGCAAATAGTCTAAAATCTAGATATTCCAAAAGGTCAATAGTAATGAAAACAGATATAAACAATGAATACATAAAACAAGACCAAATCTGAAAGGATATGAGGAGAGAGCTCTGAAGAAGAGAAGGGGAGTTTTCTGCTTATGTGACAGAGTAACCAAATTTCTGGCTTACTATTCTGTAATGTGATCATTTTGCACAGCAGCTGCTGATATCTTTAACAGTAACTTGTATGAAATTGATTAAAATATATACTGTCTGTTCATTTTAAAGTTTAGCTTTTATAGATTTACTGTGGAATATTTGTGTTGTAACATGACAACCTGATTAGATCACACAAATTAATAATCAATCTGTTTCAAATTTCACAGTACAAAAGACAAAAAGACAACAGCTGTTGCAATATAAATGCATCATATAAGAGAATGTTTTAAAGCCAAAACTTTGGTTACTTTGGTCACACAAGCATACAACTACAGCTAGCTATATGTTAGGAAAGTTGGTACTACTGTGATCCATCTGTAACAGTGAATACTTTAACCAGTATTTACATTGTTGTGGCCTTTGTTGTTAAAGTTATTAGACACATTTAGAGACACTTAATGTAAAGCAGAACCAAACATTCTGAGGTAGATCTTTTCTCACATTTTTTTAAACATCCATACTATATAGTATGCAAAAGCAGTATGTGACAGCAGCGTACGTATGGATAAGATTGATCACAGGCCTACACAGACTGATCAAAGGCCTAGCCTGTTTGATCCCAGGCCCATTCAGATTGATCAGAGGCCTACCCAGACTGATTACAGATCCACCAAGATTAATCACAGACCTACCCAGGTTGATTCCAGACCCACCCAGATTGATCACAGGCCTACCCAGATTCATCCCATGCCCATTCAGATTGATCAGAGGCCTACCCAGATTGATCACAGGCCTACCCAGATTGATCACAAGCCTACCCAGATTAATCCCATGCCCATTCAGATTGATCAGAGGCCTACCCAGGTTGATTCCAGACCCACCCAGATTGATCACAAGCCTACCCAGATTCATCCCATGCCCATTCAGATTGATCAGAGGCCTACCCAGATTGATCTCAGGTCTACCCAGATTGATCCCAGGTCTACCCAGATTGATCACAGGCTTACCCAGTCAAATGGGAAGAGTTGAAGCCAATGTAGCCAATGAAAACTAAAATACCATTGTAGCTAATTAAATCGTGCTAGCAAGTTCCAATCAATGTCACCACTCATATCGAGGTGCTGCACAAAAAAACAGAAAAGAAAAAAGGTGTTGCATCTTCCTTTGTCTACAAATTCTGCAGGTGGAATAGTCTTTTGAAATAGTCTGTCAAATTCAAAATGTATAAGCAGACATCAAAAAAAAAAACTATGTTCAGATGTAGACAAAGTCAAAGAATCCAATTTAAACAAAACCACAGGTGCAACTGGGCACCTGCTGATGACACCAATTTTTTGTGGCACACAAGTGAACTGTAGCGCTGAGTCGAGTGCTATGGAGGCCTGTGAAGGACCTGCATACAGCACTGAGTTAAGACCCCCAAAGTTCCAGGAAGGAACTGACTGATCTAAGCGGAGCCTTTATTAGGGGTGTCCACCATCAGTGAGCCTCCTACTCAGCCAATGCTTGGGGCATTCCAGCCAGCTGTAATTTCAGGAAAACCCCATTGTTGTTCTTTAAAATAGTAGAATCAGTTCAAATGGATTGAACACAGTAAGTAAAAAGATGCAGTTTATTGTTAAGCCTGTAGGAATTTTACAGAAAGTCACACTTACATTTTACATATGAGCTTACTTTTGGAAGAAATGTAAAACTCAAACTTAAAAAAAAACGTGCAATTTTACATGAAGATATGAACATACATCATCCAGAAGAAGAAAAATATTTAATTCCTTAATTTTGTGAAGCATGTAGTTGCTTTCAGCATCACTCCAAAAGTGTTTTGCTGCCATCTCACGGCAATGCTGCTTGCTTATTTCTGGTACTGTGGTCTGTTTCACACATGCATAGACTAAGAAATCCGAAAGAAATCAGAATAAGAGTTTACATACACTGAGAAATCTGATTACTGAACTAAAATCCAGCTCTCTTTATCAGATTTCTTAATCAGATTTCTAGACCTTACTCCGAAATAAGAAATCGGCATTTGCTGTTTACATGACCAATTGAATAATCAGATAACTGCAGAAATCCAATTATGATCAGATTATTGAATGCATGTAAAGGCACCCAAACAGAGCAAGGATAATACACTGCAGAATTGATTGTTATTATTATGCTGATATCTAAAATAATTTCAAAATTAACAAACAAATATATCAGGCTGAAATATGTAGTAATAATTAATAATTTGCAAGAACTATTTATGAGATAAGAACCTGTGCTTCCACAGTACTGTGTTACTATGGAGCATTACTCGATTTACTTGCCACCTTCACTCCAGAGAAGAGAAGAAAACACATCAAAACATTTAATCTATTCATTATTTTGTTTACCCTTGACGTAGGTAAATGCAGTATAAGCAACTCTATTAGCTTGTCAATTCACAACAGTCAACTTCAATGCAAAATGTTTAGATTTTTAAATGTTCTGAGTTGTACATGTGAGGCAGGACAGTAACGTTACAAATCTGCCTGATTTTTGCCATAGAGAACGATGAGGCTGAAGTCAGCTTCCAGTTTGTCTGCTTCTAGTTCAATTTTTTCCGTTCCACCTTAAATAGTGCAGCAGTTACATTCTGGCCGACTATAGCTTCATAAGAGGACACAAGTAAATGCTTCTTTGAATGTCTCCATACCTATGAAACTCCCTTTCCACAGAATTTAGTAGCATTTTTATCAACACATCCAGTGCTGTGAAAAAGTATTTCTACTACTTTTGCTAATTTTTCACAGTTAAATATTTCATACCATAAAACTAATTGTAATATAAGATAAGGATAACACAAAAAAAACAAAAAAATGCAACTTTTCAAAGATCATTTCATTTATGGAACATAAACATTTATTAAAAAAAAAAACACCCATGTGAAAAAGTAATTGCCCCCAAAACCTAATAATGGGTTGTGCCACCCTTGGCAGTAACAACTGCAGTCAAACATCTGCAATAATTTGCAATCAGTCTTTTATATCACTGTGGAGGAATTTTGGCCCACTCTTTGCAGAATTGTTTTAATTTGGCTACATTGGAGGGTTTTCGAGCGTGAACTGCCTGTTGAAGGTCATGCCACAACATCTCAATGGGATTCAAGTCAGGAATTTGACTCAGCCACTACAAAACCTTACTTTTTGTTTTTTATTTGAGCCATTCAAAGGTGGACTTGCTTGTGTGCTTCAAATCATTGTCCTGCTGCATAACCCAACTGTGCTTGAGCTTTAGGTCACAAACAGGCAGGCAGGCATTTGGGGATTTCCTGACAGAGAGCAGAGTTCAAGGTTCATTCAGTTATGACAAATCGTCCAGGTCCTGCAGAAGCAAAGCAACCCCAGACAATCACACTCAGCACGACCATGTTGGTATGAAGTTCTTATGGTGGAATGCAGCTTTACGCCAGATGTAACGGGACCCATGCTTTCCAAAAAAGTTTCACCTTTGACTCATCAGTCCACAAAATATTAACACAAAAGTCTTATGGGTCATCTCAATGGCTTTTGGCAAGTTTGAGATGAGCCTTTGTGTTTATTTGGTCAGCAGTGGTTTGCGCCTTGTAACTCTCCTATGGATGCCCTTTTTGCCCAGTGTTTTTCATACGGTAGTACTGTTTACATTAAACGTAACTGAGACAAGTGAGGCCTTTGTCATTATCCCATCAGCTTTGCCATTATGAGACCCCTGGTCTGTGTGTGATAACAAAGTTAAAGCATGAAAAGAACATTGCCCACCTTGCTTGTCTGGAATATAGTCTCTTTGATTTACGAAGGTAATCCAGATTCCAATGACATGTCAGCACCGTAAAAGAATGGTTTGCCCCCTCTAACCAATGGTGCCATTCCTCCAATGCCAGTTTAATGGCCAGCAACTCACGATTGCCCAGTAGTTGTAGTTACGTTAGTCCAGGTATAAGAAGGCTGACTGATGCGGACATGTGAAACAGTGAAACTAGTTCTCAGTATTACAGGAAAGCTAATCTCTAAAAGGTGGATCTCTGTGAATGCATGACTGTCACTTCCAAAATCAACAAAACATGAAATTTGCCCAGGGGCACCCAAACCTTTGCAAGCAACTGTAAATATTTAACGTTTTTGGACTTTGAATATACTACATTTCAACTTCCCACATATGGATATATTGTTGCTTATGGTACAAGTTTTCAATTCAGCCAAAAGGTATTGATTAATCATTGATGAGAATCTCCTGTGGGCTGAATGATCTTTTAAACAGGCAGCTGAGCTTCTTGACTTGTTGTTGGTGACCAGACTTCATCATGGTTGTCAGGAGGATTCACTTTAGTAAAAGGCTACTGTTAGCCTGCTTCCTCTTTCTCTGTGTCTATGGACAAACTTTAGGACCGTAAGTAACACCAAAAGATGACATGCTTTATTTTGTGTCATACTGTAATATAACCATATGGTAATAATGTTAAACATGCTTTCTTTTCAATACAATCTACCCAACTGGGTTTTTATTGTTGACTTTGAATATTTGTCCAGTTTCAGGCTCATTCCACCTTAAGCAACAGTGGCTTAATATCATTTCACAAATATCAAAGCTGCTGTATAAAAACATAGTAGGCTATATCAAAAAAGTATATTTGTATGTTGGATCTGTAAAAATGTTCACTACAACTTTTTTTATTTCTTACAAGCTGCATTCTAAAATGTGATATAAAATGTGTATATTAGAACAGAAAACAATTCCAGTTGTATGTTGTATTACAACCTAAACACACAAAACTTACTATGTAATGTATGTTAGGATTTTGTTTTGTAG